CAAGGAGGAGGACCCTCGAGGCACAGGGTCTGGAGGGGTCAGCAGAAGGCACTGAGGCCATGCAGATGGCATCAGTGACCTCAGTGGCACAAGGTGCTGGACAGTGACAAGGGGGCTGTCTCCAGCAAGAATGTGTTGCACCACCCACCCACAGCCCAACCCCACCCCAGCCCTGATCCATCAGACAGTGCTGGGTGGTTCTGTTCAGTGCAGTTTCATGCCACACCACAAGACCAGGAATGGGGATGGGGGTCCTCTCTGCATCTCATCCCTGCCTCCAAGCCATCACCCTCCCTTCTCCTTCAAACCTACATGGGTCTATGAAACTCCTGCCTTCTAGCCCAACCCCCAGCCACGACTTCTCGCCCACCACCTCCCTGTCTCCCTGATGAACCACCTTCCTCCCTGACTACCATCTCCAGTGGTCTCAGTATTCACAGAGACAACCCACTCAGCCCAGTCCTCTCACTCCTAGCACCTCCACTGACTTAGTCACTCATGTCAACGGTCACTCCCTAGACCATGTCAGCACCAGTAACTGAGCTCTCCTGCCACAACCTCCACCATAGCAGACTCCCTCTGTGGGGTTCCAAGAGCCAACACTGTAACCACCTTTTGGTGACCCCTTACCTGCTTTGTCTCTCTCTTTAACAAATCCACCTGGAAAAATTGCAACCCTAGGGAAAGCTGCTGTGTGCACACAAGGACACACAACCCCTGGGCTCACTCCCCAGGACAGCCAAGTCACCAGTGAGAGTTATGGAAAATACTCACTCACTCCCTCACGCCTCAGCTGTGCTGAGAGACACATGTGCCACAGTGGCCCCATGGGATTAAGCTTCAGGCCCCACAGTGAGAGCTGACTACCCACATTTTTATTAGCATACATTAATTGTACAAAGGAGTTTCATTGTGATGTTTCCAAAGAAGTGTACAGTAGGCTTTGATCAGATTCATCCTATTAGCCCCCTCCTGCCCCCCTTTATTATTTAGTGGGTTTCATTACTATATTCATCCCCAGTAGCCTCTCCCCTCCCCACTGACCACCCCTCAACAGTTCCCCTTTTATGCTCATGCCCCATTATCGTTGTTATTATTGTTATTAATTAGGTCTAGGCTCCTTATATGAGTGGAAGCATGCAATATTTGGCTTTCAGGGATTGGCTTGTATCATTCAACATGATAGTCTCCAGTTCCATCCATTTTCCTGCTAATTTTGACATAATTTCATTCTTATTCATGGCTGAATGATGCTCCATTGTGTGTATTCCACATTTTCTTTATTCATTTGTTGGGTAATGAGCACCTAGACTGATTCCACAACTTAGCTACTGTGGATCGTGCTGCTGTAAACATGGGTGTGCAGGTGACTCTTTTGTATTTTTGTTACAATGGGGACATGTCTATGAATGATCCAGGTTCTTGGAGAATTGAACAAAGAATTGAAGATAAAGCACAGAAATATCAAGCAAAGCATAGATTTATGGCAAGCAGAAATACACTCTCACAGAGGACTGGAGCAGCCCTGAGCAAAGAAGCTGAAGGTGCTGATTCTCCTGTCTGTATTATAGTTTAAGACCCAACCTATGGCTGAGGCAAAGCAAAAGGGGGCTGAGAGGGTGTTCCTCTTACGATTGACAGCTTTGATTGACAGGAGGAAGTTACATAACTTATTTTTGATTGTGCATGTCTCTACTCAGAATGCATCCTGTTATAATCACATGCATGGCCTGCAGTCCGTATGTATGAAGATTTAAGTACTGGGGGGTGTCTCAAAAGGTCATCTGAGGAGAGGTTCCCCAGCTGTCAGTGCATGCATTAGTTCCAAGACTTTCCCCTTGGTGTAAACTTCCTCATAATGGAGGCCACTGAGCTGACCACAAAAAAAATGGGATTCCCAAGGACATTCTAAGTCAGATGCTTCCTGAAGTGGGTCATGCCCTACATGGGATTTGGGACATGACATTTTATGCGGTCAGTCTCCACTCCCTCCTGACCAACCTATACTTCCCTATTCTCCTGCCTCCTGCTGACTTACTGCCCAAGAGTGGTATAGAAGGGTCATAGGTACGTCTATCTTCTGATGAGCTGCCATACTGATTTCCATAGTGGTTGCACTAATTTATACTCTCACCAGTTCTGTATAATCCTTCTCTTCCCTATCTCAGTCCCCACACCCCAGCTGATCAGTAACTTCATCTCCCAAATAAACTGCTTAAACCCAATCCCTAGATCTAGGAGCTGCTTCTGGGGATCCAAGAAATAATACCAGCTCCTGAGGCACATCAGGCCCATTTTATATCCATGGCAGAGAAATCAGCAGGGAGAAAATGGAGGGCCCCAAACTCTTTGCTCCTTAAGTTCCCATGAAGGTTGGTGCTGCGTGTTTGGTGGAACGTTTTCACTGAACTAATCACCAAGGGCCACAGCTTGGATCACTGAACTGGGTCCACCACAGTCACTGCTGAGGCAGAAGGAGGATCCAGGGAGAAGGTCCTGGTGGCCTTGTAAGAAGGGCTTCTGCAAAGAAGTTGCATGCTTCCCTCCACTCCATGAAGAAAGGAGAGGAATTCAGCTGGTTGTCTTCTGAAACCATAGCCTACACGGCCTTAAGAGAGTACACAAAGTTGCATGGGGCAGGGTTGGGAGAGAGGAGTATCTGAAACATTTTTTCCCACCACCGAGTCAAGGGCTGAAGCCCTGCTCTCCATTGACGCCATGCCCAAACACTGAACCTGCACAGAGATGTAGTGATTGATCAGAAAGAAGAGGGGAGACCACTGGGTGTGGTAAGGTCACCTTCGTTTCCCATGGATTAAGTGATTCTAGAAAAGGATGGGAGTTCACTTGCTTATGCTCCTCAAAGGGGAGTCTGTTGGTAAAGGAACCCAGCACCCACTCATAACCCTCCTGCTTCATACTTCTGAGTTCTCAGATTACAGGCAGGTACCATCACGCCTGGCAACACATATTTAATCTAAGGAGTCAAGTATGGTATTGTCCTTAAGTGCTATTATGAAAAATTATTTAAACTAAATTGTTAGTAAGTGAAGTAGGGCCTTCAGTGGATTTCACTTAAATGGAGATGCACAAGGGGAGGAGAAAGTTCATCAACAGCATATCCCTCAAGCTAGGCCCCCAAGCTTCCTCCAAAGAACCAGTATGTGCCACACTAGGGAGTTAGCATGGGGAATCTCCCACAGACAGGAGCCAAGGGCAAGGCAGAGGGGAGAGCAAAGCAACAGACAAACATCAGATGAAACCTCCCCTGTGGAGTCCAGTAAGGATCTCCAACATGGCACCCTACAGGCCAGAGGATAAAAAGGGAGGCATGAGAGATCGGGGCATGGTCTCCACTCAAATTCCATCCAGAGCCAGGAGTCAAACCTGTGTTGGGTTTAAGACAGAAAGGCCTTGACTAGAATCTGAGTTTAAGATTTTTAAGTTGGCAGGACCCAGCCTTAAGACCCAATGGTGATGGTCTCACTATCCAAGAATGATGAGAAGGTAGGATTTGGTCAAGATCTCATCGCGGGAGCTGCAACCTCAAAGGCAGTGTTAGAAGCAGGTGCTGGAAATGCTAAGATTGTGTTATGGGTTGAGCTGAAAAGATGAAGTCCTAACCCCCCAAGCACCTCAATGTGACCTTAGTTGGAAATAGGGTTATTGTTAAGATGGGGTCATACTGGTAGAGTAGGAGCAGCAGTGCCCAGGCTGGCAACATCAGAAGGTGAGCAGAGTCAAGGAAGGAGTCCCCTCACGTTTCAGAGACAGCACAGTACTGCCAATACCGTGATTTTGGACTTCCAGAGCTAGAGCTAAGAGCTGTGAGAGAATAAATTTCTGATATGTCACTTTGTGACAGAAGCACTAGCAGACTCACACAGTCTGCTTTGTGTTTTATACCTCACCCACTGTTCCAGAAAGGATCCTCTTCCTTGGCCTCACTGCAAACATACCTTTACTCTGATGGGATAAACTTGTCAAATACACTCAGCCCGAGGGAGGCATGCAGGCATACTTATATTAAAAGGGCTATTCCTGTGGATCCAGAGAACACACAGAACAGTCCTGAAGAAGGGCATTCCAGGAGATATCCGAACACCATGTGAGGCTACCAGGCTGTGAGGGCTTATGAGGGGTCCCCAAAGCTTGGTAATTCTCCTGAAGCTATCTTGATGCTCAGCTGGGGCCTCCAGGCAGGCACACTACAGAAAAACTCAAATCCCTACCATCATAGACCATGAAGCCATGAGTCTGTCCCAGAATCCCCCCAAATTCCTAACAGAGCCCGCCTCCCACACTGCCCTTTGCTTCTCGCACACTGACATAGACACAAAGCTCAGTTCTTTCCCCAGTTTCTACAAAGATGTGAACAGTCTAAGAGCTTAGAAATTTCCCTACATCAGTGTGATCTTAGAACAGTTCTGCTCATACCTGAGGTGCTGGGTTCCACCCTCGGCAGCTGTCAGGGTGTATTTTGCCCAACAAATTCAGTTTCCTGCCTATGTGGGATTCAGGTACCACCTGAAGATGTATTATTTGGTTTTGGTTTTTGTGTGTTATTTATGAAGATAGGAGAGAAGGTCTTTAAGGGGGGGAAATACACACTCACAGACACTCAAATCCAACTACAATAACTGTATGCTTTTGTCTTGGAGACTCCAGAAAAGGGGTGACGTCCAGAGAAAACACTGCATATTAGCCATGATGAAGTAAGAACAAGACAAATCCCAGGTAAAAAAAACTGGAGAGGCAGGGACAGGCTGAGGCCCTGGAGTCACCCAAAAGTCAGAGAGAACAATGAAAGCCAGCCCTACCAGAAAGGAGCATGCTGTCTATGGAGTGGACTTCCTGGCACACTGTCCACAGAGCTCTCTGTCCCTGAAACCAAAGGGCAGTGCCCACAACCAGAGGCTGTGGTTCAAATTTCACCAGCTTAGGGGTGTTTCTGACAATGAGTGCTACAAGACAGCCAAGAAAGACCAATCAATGACACTTTCAATATACTTTATTAAAAAGTTTCTTTGTATAAATTTCCTAAAGATTTTAAAATTAAACCCCACCCCTGCATTCAAAAAAAAATGACATTTGAGGAATGCCAAAAATATTCTCTATTATGACTTTCTTTCAATCCTTAATTGAGGCGTTGGTCCCAACAGTGCACACAGATCAAGGAGTTTGCTTCATTCTATCTAGACCGTTTCTCAGAAGATTTTGAAGAAGAAAATGAGCTTGAAGCCTAATCCAGGAAACTGGGGGGAAGAAAAAGGTGGACTCTTCTTTCTCCACTAAAGCCATGCTTAACTAAGGGGAAAAATGAATCGAGCATAAGGATACAGAGGAGCTGTGACATTGGGGTTATTCTGTAGACTTTACTTTTGCCCAGTACAGGCATAAGGTGAAACTTCAGAGGGAATTTGGATTTATAGGAATGTTCACATAAACACCAGCAGTGGCTAACTAGTACATCAAGTTCAAAGTATACGATAGAACTGCCTGGAGACAGAGCGTGGGGTCCACAGACTCGTATAGCACCATATTGACAGGTCGCAGGGCAGAAGGCTTCCTCCCGAGGTCGAGTATCAATCAAAGCAGGAAATGGCACAGTGCCAGGGAATCCGCCCCGAGCTTCTACAAAGACAGGTGGAAATGGCTGCCTCCTTCTTCTCCTAGAGGTAAGTGTTGCTGGCCAGCCACGCCTAGGTTCCCATCACATTGACGACTCTGGGTTTGGGGACCACTGAGCATGGAGAGAAGGAAGAGTGGGGTGAGGGAAGGAGCAAGAAGACAGGAAAAGGCCATGTTAGATGCTGCATTTACCATGACATGCCCTGTGGCTTCTAGTCCTCCTCCTTTTCTCTCTTTCCCACTCAGTACTGTCATTGGTTCCCTGTGACATTCTTGCCTTCAGGGTTGGGCTGTCTGTGCAACGTGAGTGCGTCCTCATGACCTTTCTGCCAATTCAACCCTCTCTCCTCTGGCACTGACCCCAGGCTCCCGTCAAGTTGCTGCTATTTTATTGCCAATCAAGTCACCCAATATGACAGAGATATTGGGTGACCTCAATGTCAATGTTATTTACAGGAAGCAAAATTACTTAAAGATGTATCTATCTATGGGGATACTGATCTTTAGTGTTACCTGCAACTGATCACTCTACTATTTTTCTAATAACCATTCTTGGTACGATATTTTATGAGTAACAGGTAAAGAGAGACAAGTAGTTGGCCATGTGTTTCTTCACTGGTAGAAACACAAGCATGGTTTTTGGAAGCAAGATAGTAATTCAAAAAATGAATTTCAGGCTGGGTGCTGGTGACTCACGCCTGTAATCCCAGCTACTCAGGAGGCAGAGATCAGGAGGATCACAGTTTAAAGCCAGCCCCGGGCAAACAGTTCGTGAGATCTTATCTCAAAAAACCCTTCCACACCCCCCCAAAAAATAGGGCTGGTGGAGTGGCTCAAGATGAAGGCCCTGAGTTCAAGCCCCAGTACCCTCCCCACCAAAAACCCCCCCAGAATTTCATAAGTGTGCTTGTAAAATTTAACTTTTTGCTTATTTTAAATGTATTTCATTTCAACATCTTCCTGATCTGAATGTGTAATGTTCTTCTTTTTCAGCTACGTCACGATCATGGTACTTCAAGCATTTTTCAAAGGCAAGTTTTTGACCTGGACCTCTTATTTGCAGTGCCTATGAACATACAGAATGACTGCTTACCAGGAGCACAAACTTTTTCACATTCTTCCTGTGATTTAAATTTGTTCTCATTTCCCCCACAACCTCCAAACCAAAATCTCCCGCAGCTTTTGGTGTCTGGATCATAGTACCAAAACAGATTAAAACTCCTGCATGTTCCTGGATCTTTCGGCAAGTGACATATATCTGCAATATCAAGATGAGAGGAAAAATATTATTACACAGAGCTGGTTACACCCAGCGCTGGGGCTGACAGGCTGACCGCAAAGATGAAGCAGAGAACTCAGAGAAGGGTTACTGGTTGCAAAACTCTCGCAATCAGCCAAGCCTCAGTTTCCTCACTGAGGTATAATATAATAATCACCCACAACTTTGCCAAGGGCAAATAAAATCATGCCTCTGAAAGGGCTTTACAAAGTACACTTGAACTCTTAAGCGTTATTGGATATTGAAAATGAAAAGAACTGGCCTTTCCCTCTCTCTGGTCTCTGCGGCATTTTGCTCTCCAGAACCATGGACCTTTCCACTCCTTAGCAAAATCATACTCAAATTCTACAAGAATATACTCCAAAAGTAAGGCTGCTCAAGCCATGTAGACTGAAATGAGTGGAAATGAGCATTCGTCATGATGCGTGTGCACACACGCGTGTAGCTGAGTGCCTTCCTGACCTACCACGTGAAACTAACGCAAAGATCTGCCACTGAGCTTCAACTCACGCCACAGAAATGTCCCACAGCAAAGCCCTTTGTAAGCCCAAGAAGCATTTGTTCTCCAGTTAAGGAAGTTTATGTTTTAAATGCGCCCTTCTGACGTCGCCCAGCTGCAGAGGCATGCTGAGGTCCCCCCAGTAGGGTAGAGGAAAGTTTATGGTTCATGCAAAGTGAGGCTTCTGTTTACAGAGCTTTCTGGCAAACCCCTGAGTGTGCTGGGAAAGACATACATGGATGTCAACTGCTCTCTGAAAGTTTGAAAAACTAAGCCTTCTTTCAACAAAGCCCCTGGAGCAGATAATGCTGCGTGCTTGTGTGGGAAGTTGTAAGCCTGAATCTTCCAGCTCTGCCCTCACAGGGCTCCTTGGTCTCCAGCTGGGCAGGTCAGGCACCACTGCAGAAGGGGTGGTATGTGCAGGTCTGACTGATACCAGAAGGGAATGGAAACCTTAAGTCTTCAAGTTGATCATCAAAGTCAGGTCAGCCACGACATGTTTACTCAAAGGTATGCAGGACTCCAGCTCAGAGTTGGTCTCAAATGAATCCTGGTTGCTAGGTGGTGGGGGCGAGGGGATCGTCACCAAGCTGGTGAAACACAAAATCATCTACCTGCAGACCCTCTCCAAAGCCCAGGGAGCCTATGGTCCACCAAGAGCCTCAGAAGACCCAAGGAAAGCAGAGTAAAATGGTGACACCTCAAACAGACTCCTTTCTCTGGAAAGCACCAGTAAATAAAGGCAAATGCCTGGCTTTCAAGGAATGTCATGGAGAGAAATTAGGTAGGCAAGACTATTTAGCCACCAAGACACATTCTTTCTCTGCCTGTGGGATCTCCTGCAGATGTGAGGCCCAGGTCAAATGTCTTGTGCTTTTCTTCTTCATTCCCATGCATTATCCAAACAATCCCGGCTTGTTCCAAATTATTTGTTCCACATGCTCCTCAGTCCTGGCCATCTCTGTTCCCACTCGCCAGGCTCTTCTGAAGCAGAAGCAAGAAGTCCATCTGGACCCCAGGACTCTGGGCAGCGCTGTAGCAGGCACTCTGCCCCACTGACCCATCGACCTTCCCAGCTTCCTTTGCTTCTCACCATGGCTCCTGCATTGTCCACCCTTATTCCAGCAGGAATCACTGTGAGACCCTGTCAGGCTTACTGAGGGACCCTAAGAACCTGTTACTACAGATAAATGCAGATGTGCAAAACAAAGAGAAACGTATGAATGAGAGATCCACACTATTCACAGACAAAAACTTGGGACTCTCCATTTTTAAAGCATGGTAAATTTTATGTTCTTATAAAGTCTTATAGTTTTAAACCCCACATCCTGACTGCTGAGACCCCATTAGTCTTGGGGGGGGGAACTCTCCTAGCTATATCTAATCAGCAAAAACTAATTAAAATGTCCAGCAGCACAAAGGGAGATGGCTCCCTGAGTTTAATCTGGACCTTTTCTTAGAACAATAAGGTTTAGACTCAACAGTTGTTCCTGTTTTCTTTCTCAAAGAAGGTGGCCCCTTTGGGGACAATTCTGTGGTGTTTGGCTGTGTAGTCATTAATTTTCTCCTTTTTATTATTGAGAACCTAATACAGCCTAAAAGACATGGAGGGAAAGCCATCCGCAATCTTTCCTGGCTTACTTAAATACAGAATCACAATGAAATAATCTTCATTTTATAAGAGAGAATTATGGGGCTCCTTGGTTCCAACCATCCTCTGTTGGTCACTGGGCTTGAGTAAGCATCCATGTATGAGAAAGAAGACCAAGTTCAGGGAATCCCCTATGTTCACAAAAGCCAAAACAGAACATCCTAAAAGCAATCCTCCCTTAGCAGGGTGCAGGGCACCCTGGAAACACAGGCCATGTTTGTGACAAAGACATGTGTGTGCACACACATGTGACCTCTCAAGGCATGCACGTGCCCACACATAGTCTTCATGGAAAGAAACCAGGAAGGCTGTGCCTCAGATTCCTAGTGGAGGTCATCAGTGGCCAACCCTGTTGCCACAGTGGGGAGTCATGTAGCTCTACATTGCTCCCTATGTCCTGAGTTCCTCAAAGTACTCTTTGAAACAGAAAATATGTCAGCTGGAAAACCTTGCCTTTTTTTGTCGTTTGGGATTTCCAGTGTGCTTTGACGGTTTGCAAGCCTGCAGGTCACAGTGGGGATTTCAGTGCTTCCCTAGCAAAGTGAAGGGGTGGGGGTGTCGAACCCACAATGTAAATGCGTCAGCGTCATGGTCTTAAACTCAGAGGGATTTAATTGCTTCTGTCTGGCGTTGGTGTGTTGATATAAAGTGTTTCCAAAGCTCAAAGGCAGGTACAGGTTTCCTGAATGAGAAAAACGTCCTCATGGCTACGTTTTGGTCATTGGCTGATTCCAAAAGGGCCAGCAAAGCATTGGTATTTTCAGCTGTATTTTTAAATATAGTTGTGACTAAGTTTCGGACCCTTTATTCTCTCAGATCTTGACCAAATACACTTTTATTTTTTAAGATTTCACAATTTAAAAAAATCCAAATACCCTTTGATGCTCGTCATAATCCAATTGGAGCACTTGATCACATTTTCACCAGAGATAAGCACACAGCCTCAAAGTGGGCAGTTTCCCCTAGCCAAGTAGCAAGAACATTTGTGGCTGTTCGTCTCCACTGGAGGGGCTTAGTTCCTAATTATCAACCCACAGTCAGACTTTCTCCATCGCATCACCTTGGGTCAGTCAGTGATCTACTTCCCCAGAGGAACATGACTAACCGAATGCTGGATCACATCAAATCTATCTTAATTTAGTTTCTGTTCTACTAACTAACACCAAACACCACCAATAAACCATAACATGCCACCAATTAGAATTCACATTTTGGTTTCAAAAATCGTTTTACAGTGAGAAAAAAAGTGTGCACCTTAAAATCAATAAAATAAGCAAAATGTTGGTGAATATAAAATGATAGTTTCTTCAGAGCTCTCTGATTGACCCAGTTATGCTTGCTCAGACAAAATGTGCTCCATTCTGGCCGGGCACAATGCCTCACACCTGTATCCTAGTTACTTGAGGGGTGGAGAACAGGAGGATTGAGGCTCACGGTCAGCTCAAGCAAGAAGTTCACAAAGTCCCTTCCCAAACTATGGCCGGTACAGCAGCACATTCTCACCAACCCAGCTATGCAGGAAAGCACAACTAGAAAGGTCACGGTCTGGTCCAGCCAGTGAATAAAGTGAGACCCTATCTCAAAAATAACCAACATCGAAAGGGCTGGCTGAGTGGCTGAAGTGGTACAGCATCTGTCTAGAAATTGCAAGGCCCTCAGTTCTACCCCCCAGTACCTCACACAAAAAATTGATCAGACCTACAGATTGTTGACTTTCAGAATAAGTAATAAAAAATATCAAACGTTTGATTAGTTAATTTTGGCTAAATCCAGCATTCAAACTTTCCTCCAATACATATGGTTAAGTTAATAATTTGGGATTCATTTTGTAAGCACTACAAAAAGTAAGTTTCTGGATTTCGATGTTTTTGCTGTTGCAAACAAACCTCAAGAGTCTTAGCATGCAAAGAAATATGCATAGAAAATGTCTATCCAAGGCTTCTCTAGGGAAAAATGAGAAGGGTTTGGGGAGAGGTGGTGAGAAAACTCTAAAACCAAAATTAACCCAAAGCACTGTCAGACCTAGCAGTGATAAAGCATGTGACCAAATGCCTGGTGCGCTCAGCCACTCCACACTCTCCTGTGATAATGGAAGATTCAGCCAGTGCTGCTCACTGCCACTTACAGGCAACAAAACTGGCTGGATTATTTTTTAAGTGCTGAAGAAAACTAAAGGTAGAGTGTAGCTTGGGGGGAGGGGAAGGATTCATTTTCCTTTTGTTTTAAAAAATACCAGTTTTAACTGTTTCCAGTAAAATCATGTCATATTGCAAAGGCTAGAATCTTGACCAGAAGTAACAATGCTGCAGGTTGGCTGGTGGAATCAGCCTTGCCTCCAGCCAAGGCCACACAGCCGCTCACCCCCTGCCCCAAACAGGGCAGACAGTCCATGGGGAGCAAAGCAGCCCCCATGCTCACTGGCACAGCATGTACTTAGCATGCACAAGGCCCTGAGTTCAATCCCCACCACCACAAAAGAAAAAAAAAAAAAGGCTATCTCCTTGCCCTGCACTGGAGAGAAAGCCTAGGACTCAGGCCACCACACTTCCTGAATCCAAAATGGGAAACTATGATAAAGTGTAAGTCCTTAAGACAGAATATTTTATTCATGGAGGTAAAAAAAGCAAGGATCGGTAGCTAACATTTAATACAAAGAAAGGGATACATCTCTGCAAGTCTAAACTGTGTTTCTAACTAACTTGCTACAGAAAAGAATAAAATATCCATACAGAAAAAATAAATATAAAATAAAATATATAAACATGCAAAGTAAAAAATACGTGTCTATGTACAAAAGATTATTTTAAAACCTAATTTTGTCTGAGTTGTCGAGGAAATATATCTTTGGAGAAATAAGGGCCGTTACAGTCATTGCTATTTGGATAATTGCTATCTGGATGCAAAACTTGTCACTTTGTTTTTACATAATCACATAAAGAGTGGTTTAACACGAGTGATTATACAGCGATTGCCATTGCTTTTTCTATCTCTAAAAATGTAAATATCACTAAAATATTTTATTCCCTGAAAAAAATATCTAAGTTAACAAGGGGGAGGGGGAGGGGAGGGAAGAGGCTGGGGACTCCTAAGAGGAAAGATAAGAATTCATTTCTTGTTCTGCTTATCCCCTTTTTGTCCTCCATTTTGAACTTCCAACATTTTGAAGTAAAATACCTAGCTCATGTAATTCATAATGCATTCTCATGAATGGCTGGCGGATGTCCAGACAAAGAATTCTAGGCACCTTCTCCAGGCTTGCCTCGTGGCCTGTGGCTGTGTGGATCAATGGTCAGTTGTACAGGACCTTGCCCTGAAGCAAAGCACGGGATTAATGTCTGCACTCTGTCCTGAATCACTGGTAGGAAATTCACACATATGCACATGCACACATGTACACACACAGAGAAGAAACATGCACACCCCCTGTCTCAGCACTGTGTACCACCAGAGTGAAGGAGACAATTTTAGATTCAACTATGTCAGGCTACCTGTAGCCTTAACAGAAGCACAAACCCCAGATTTTTAAAATCTTTTCTCTTTATCACATGGAGCGAGGAGATCTATGTATTAAAGGTTTGGATTAGCGGAGCCTGTGGTACCTGCCTGAAATCCCAGCTATTTGGGAAGTGGAGGCAGGAGGAGCTAGAATTCAAGGTCAGGCTGGGCAGTTAAGGAGACCCTATCTCAAAACCAAAATACAAAGAACAGGGCTGGAATACAGCTTCCGTACCACAAAAAAAAGTCTGGGTCAAAACCACTTCCCTAATTCTGAAACTTGCAACTCTAAAAAACTAGCCCCAAAGAGATAGAGGTGCAGAGTTAGGAAACACTCCAAACTATCCGATTGGAGTTAAACATAGATGAAATGAGATGCAGACGCTACAAAAATGGTCAGATAGAGAAATAAGCATTATTCTAAAACTTACAGTGGGAAAGAGCGAAATGAGGACTATGTGTGTGACCGCTCAAAAGCTAGTGCTGACCAGATTTGTGTTTAAAGATTAGGTTGTTTACTTTAGTTAAACACTGTTTATATATTCTCATCCTTCTGGACCACACATAAGAGAACCAGAAAATCCCTGAATCTTGCAGTCTGGTGCTTTCTCCAAGTTATCATCTGTCAGTGGAGCAAGAATTGGCTAAAAACTCTGTTCCCCACACTTGCGAGGGACAGAGTTAGAGTGGGGAATGGTGCACACAGATTTCAGTGCTTTAAAGTGAGCACCAGGTCTGTGCCGACCCTGGTCTTGGAGGAAAATCTAGTGTGTTCTCTTTGGCTTCCCTTTGAGGTCAAACCCAGTGCTTGGTGAGCCTCGTCAGGGCCCAGCATGCTCTGGGGCATTGGGAGCTGCAGAGCACGCCCAGCCCCTTCCAGGCAGGCGACAAAGTCCCATCTGCAGGCCTTCAATGCAGGACTCAGAAGTAAAAGGGTTGAGACTCAAGTTTTCTTCCCCCACACCCTACCACATGGACACAAGGGAAGTCCATAAGCAGAAGAGGGCCTTCTAACAATCTAAAAGAACCAAGAGGCCTCTACTCTTCCACTAGCCCCAAGGAGACAGAGGTGCAGAGTTAAGAAACACTCCAAACTATCCAATTGGATTTAAACATAGATGAAATGAGATGCAGACTCTACAAAAATGGTCAGATAGAGAAATAAACATTATTCTAAAACTTACAGTGGGGAAGAGCGAAATGAGGACTATGTGTGTGACCGCTCAAAAGCTAGTGCTAAAGCTTCTGCAATGCATATTAGCATGTGCCCTTTGTTTACATATTAAAGGCCATGGCTGTTCTTAAATCTAGCTCAGTACAAAAGCAGCTGCAAATGGCTCTTATAATTATTTACAGAAATAAGCACTGTGATGAGAGATGCTTTCTCCTACCTCACTGGGGCTGATACACCAAAAAATAGCAGATTGTGCCCACACTCAGCAGAAACTGTTTGCTTTGGGGTCTATAAGAGAGATATCTAAATTGCCATGGGATTTTGATATTTTGTGAGTGTTCGCGTGTACATGTGTGTGCACGTGTGTGTGAGTATGTATGTGTTGGGATTGAACTCAGGTCCTTGGGAACGTTGCTGAACTACACCCTTAGACATACTCCCAGCTTGGAAGTTTGATTTGTGCAATGTGGGTCCCAGTGGGTTCCTGTCTGGGTTGTCTTGTGTTCTCTTGTTAGATTAACCCCTAAGCAGATGAAACCCTATTCTTGCAGCACCACAGACCACAAATCAACCCTACTGTTAGTGTGAGGCTCAGGGGAAGTGACTAATTGATGCACAATCCTGCCTACAGCCTTGGAAGCAACTCTCATCCGACTTTCTCTGAGAGGCAGGGTGCATCTCCATTTGCAACTGGAAACATACAGAATGAGACCAAAGAGGACCACTAAGAGTCCGACTTTGGAACTTGCCCCTTAGAAGTCATTAAGTGTGGTCCCAGGCAGATGAGCTAGGATAAAGACCTCAAAACATTTGCAGTTCTTAGAATGCTTTCCTGTTGTCATTGACGGACCTGATGTTTTCACAACTCACCTGTTTTAGTAAGAGATAACGGTTCCATGTCCACCACTAGATTAATGCCTGAACTAGACACTGACCGTGATGACTGTGCAGGAGGAGGCTGAGTTTTCTCTGTAAAAGAAAAATTCAAGCAGCTAGTAAGTAAATTAGAAACCAAAGGGCTGAGGAGTCCTTGCTTTCATGATTACCATTTCTCTAAGGGTGGCCCAGCCAATGCAAAACGCAAGAAGTCTCTGACACAATGGGATATGTGTCACATTCCTCTACTGACAGGCAAATGAGGGAATCGCAAACTCCTGAGCAAATCCTCGTCTCCACGTAATCCCTTCTGTTGCTACCCCAGAGAATGATGTCTTAGGGTTGAAGAGGTCTTTGGGCAAGCACAGCAATTGGTCTACCCCAAGGCTGCTGAGCGAATTCCTTCCCTGAGGCACAATTTCTCCATGTGAATCACACTGACCTAAAGAGCACAGGCATCTCCTTCTCTTTAGAGCAGATGGGTCAAGAAGAACTCAGACAGAAGAGAGGAAAGGGGCCATGAGTAATTAAGAAAGGCTAGAAAATCCTGGCACAGAAGCGGGTACCTGTAGTCCCGGTTACTCAGGAGTTTGAAGCAGGGCATACAAACTAAGCCTTTAAAACATAGTGAGTTCCCATCCCCACCCCCCAAGAAAAGGAAAACAGGAAGCCTGAAAAGGTGTGTGAGGGCAGGCAGCAGAGCACAGGACTTGGGAGACCCAGGAAGGAGGCACTGGTGGCCTCTCTACCATAGCTACAGATACCCTGCAGCCCCAGGCATCAAGCCTTCTCAGACTACTCCACTACTCTCTAAGGAGCCCAGTGACTGGATTGGGTGGGGCGTCCATTTACTGGACACAGAAACAGAGGCAGGGCAGTGGCCACAGAGAGCTTCCACCAGGATTGAGGCCCTCTTTCCTCGCTGCTACCTTCGGTGGACTGTTCTCAAGCCCAGGAGATCTGGTTTCCTCCACCCAGTAGCCAAGGCCCAAGAGTGGGAGCACATTTCACGTGGGACCCCATCTTCCACTCTGCTGTTTTGTAAAGTTAGAGTGCAGCCTAAGATTTTTTTTCATTTCATTTTGGATTTTGTTGTTCTTGTTACTATGTTAGGGTTTCTTTTATGTCCATTCGATATTCTGTGCAGAAAGCAGAGCTGACCGTTCTTGAATCAACCAAGTTACTTACTTGTACTAAAACTTCCTTGGTAGATGGCTTTGACCTGAGACCGCAGGTAGCAGACAGCTGCCACGTGATATGTGTGCCCAGCCAGCAGGCCCCCAATGACACGGTCAGTGATTGTGAGGTTCTGCCTCAGAACCAAGGACTGGTCATGGGCTGAGGTGACAGTGAGGTCATAAAAATAAGAACTAGGGGGCTCGGGTCTGTCCCAGTGGAGTTTGGCGCTGTTCTCTGTGACTTCAGACACTTGGATGTCTCGATACGCTTTAACTGAAAGAAAAATCAAAGCAGAGTGTCAAGATAAACAATAAAATCTTCCTCCCCCATAGTACTCAGGTGAGAGAGGAGAACTGAAAGGGGTGTGCACATAGACAGCTGAACTGAAATTTAGGTGACACAAAGTACTATCTTGTTCAATCTCCCAAGAAATATCAATCTGGACATCTGTCAGCATGCATGACATGTGACAATCACAGTAATGACAAGTCTCTTATTCATCAGCAAGGTGCACAACCACCTTTTTGGTTTTTGTTGTTTGGAGTTATCTTTTGCTATTAGGGAGATACCTGAAAATGCAAGTCCAGTGCACTGTGCTAATAGGAAGTTAAATGTTCAGTACAAAATGAGCCTGTGATTGAAAATGCGTGAAGTCATGAAATTTTAGGACATGACGTGAATTCTTTCAGAGGGATTTCTGCTTTCTCTACTCATGAAGTGCAATTTCCATCCTTAGATGAGCAACATATTCCACCTTCATCTTCCTTTATGGCTCGTGACATTACATAGTATCTTCTAGCACCTTCTTTGAGGAAAAGGGAAAAGTGAAATAACACACTCTAGGTTTTATTAACACCTCACCACAATTCTCATGTCCTGTCAAGTTGGGAACATGTTTTACTTATGGTCAGAACAAGCATGCAGGCTAGCCTTTGGGCTGGGGTCTGACTTCTGTTTTCTGGGCCTCCTTTCTGTGACCATATGCCTCGTGGAAAGAACAGAGTTTATGGTTGCCAAGGGCCCCATCCAGATATTTCCAAGTCAAGGCAGGACTGGCTCCAAAAAAAAAAACAGAAACATCTGACATCTGGCTTGCAGCCCAAGAAGCAAGGGCAGGCTTTTCCTTGTCTAACTCCATCTGTAGAGTCTAAACCCTCTCCCACTTAGAACCTCATCCCTTTCACTTGGGCAACAGGATTTCCAGGCAAAGTGGCTATACCACAATGACATCCCAGGGAGAATGGGAGCTCCCACTCCATGTGGAGGCAGGGCTGGGGCAGCCTGGAAGCACAGGAAGGAGATACTGAAAGCTGGAGGCTCCTCAGCTGCACATTGCATGGACCTCACCAGCCTCAAGAAGGTCCTAAGAGGAAGAAGACTGCTTTCTCATATAGGAAAAAACAAAAGCAATGCTTTGACCATCCTGTGCTTGGACTAGTACCTTTTAAATACATCATCCAGATGTACAAATCTTAGACCAGAGACCATATTCCAACTTCTTTATAAGAAGGCTTCGAGAGCCTTGCCCTCAGAGCAGAAAATGAGGGTGTAACAAGGTGGCAGCCCTCATCAGGACTTTCTTACCTACAGACTTAGCAGTGTCTGACTTGGTGGCAGCGGCTGGTTTGGCCTGTGGCCTGGGAGCCTCTGGCTTGGTGGCAGCTGGCTTTGCAGCAGTGGCAGGTGGTCTCACTACTGCTGGCTTGGCCCCTGCAGGCTTTGCTGCTGCAGGCTTTGCCACCACTGCAGGTCTGACTGTGGCTGTGTTTGTGGCCACAGGCTTGGCAGCCATGGGCTTTTCAACAGCTGACTTTGCAGGGGCTGGATTTGCAGGGACTGGCTTTTCAGCAGCTGACTTTGCAGGGGCTGGATTTGCAGGGACTGGCTTTTCAGCAGCTGACTTTGCAGGGGCTGGATTTGCAGGAGCTGGCTTTTCAGCAGCTGATTTTGCAGGGGCTGAATTTGCAGAGGCTGGCTTTGCAGGCGCTGGCCTTGCAGGTGGCAGATTTACAATCATTGTTGGTTTTGTTGTGGTCACTGGTTTGGATGTAGGACTTGAAGTAACATTGTTTGGAAAGTTTCTGTTAAAAAAAATTAAACATTACCTCTCCCCATACTTTTTTGTACACTATCTGAATAGACATACACCATGAGCTATGTGTAATTTGCCATTGTGGCAAAATGCATGCTCTAGGTTTTATAGATTATGTGTATATGGTACATGATGCATTAAATTTCTTATTTTTAGAATCTATGCTACTAAGATGTTGTATAGCATATAAAAATAGAACCCTTCAGAATGAAGTTTACATTGCACTACAAATACAGCTGATATCTTAGTTTCAATTTAAAAGGAAATTAAAAGAGAAAAGAATAAGTAATAGTTAATAGTGTTTTAATTATTACAATTAACACACTGAAACATACACTAAAATTAAATAGACTCAGTAATAGCTATTTTCACTATAAGAAAATATTCAGTCAGCAAAATGCCACATTGTGCTGTAAAGTCGTAAAGTTAAAATATAATGTTTTGGTCCTACATCATATTGTTGGAAATGTATGTATTTTCATTTGTGTTAACTTTTGTGAGGGGTAAACAATTTCTCAATCTATTATAGCAACACCATCAGACAACAGGGATGCACACTTTGTTCTTGCTTTTAGATGAAAATTCAATCATTTTATAGACACATCACACTACATACCAAATGTTAAGTTACTTTGGTCATTCTGTTTTCCTAAACATGTGAAGGGAATAATCCAGAGAAATAATGAGGTCAATTAAAGACTAGAAAAATAGAGCCCATACCCCAGACCAAGCAAGACCACCAACATAATGCCTGGGGAAGGGTCTTGCCTGCCTTGGTAATGATTTTTGACTTTCTAGCCTGAGATCTGGAGCTAGTCCTTGTCAAAAAGAAAGAGATGAAACACTCGAGGTGCCATAGAAGATTTGCAGTAGGAGGAGGTGGGCTCTCTTACCCCACCCTGAAGTTTAGAGTGAACTAGGGACTTATTTTCCAAGGATCATTTGAATCTTATCTCATCTGGCATCTACAAAGACCAGAACCTCCAACAAAGCATGACATGCTGTGGCATTCTCTTGAGGGACACAAATTACTGGTATTCTAAATGCTCAGTTCCTTCAGCCACAACCCCCTGCCTAGCCCTCTGTCATATGGCCACCATTGATGGAGCAGGGCATGAGCCACTGAGCAAGTGCCAAGCAGCAGCATCACCCTGGGTACCACAGTCCTGCTCATCTCTTAGCTCTGTCATTCCTCTTCCTGGTAGGACACACACAATATCTTCTATTGTACTACCATCAAGTTAGTGCAGAATTGATCATTTTAAGAAGATACAGAGCCCAGTTTTATGTATCCAGTCCTCCTTTATGAAATCCTTTCACACTAGATGTGGTAGATTGTTTGCACATCTGGCCTCAACTTTCTGTCTGTGCCCACGCCCATGTATGATATGGCAGGTCATACCCTCAGACCCAGTCCTTCATCCTTAAATCTAGCTGACCTTTAGACATGCTTTGATAAATGGAATGTGTCAGAAGGTAGCAGTGTGCCAGGTCTGGCTTATGTATGTCTCAAGAGATCTTGTACACTTCTGCCTTTTCTCACGGAAACCTGCTTGCAACCTTGTGAACAAGCCCAGGTTTTGTCCCCTGGAGAATGAGAGACCACATGGAGCAGAGATGAACTAACCCAGCTGAGATCACCCTGCACCATCCAGGGCACAGCTGACAAACTCATGACCACAAGCATAGAAGGGAGCCCAGTGGAGACCAGAAGAACCACCCAGCTGAGCCCAGCCAGAAATTTCTAACCCACAAAATTACAAATCAAATAAATTATCCATTAAGTTTTGGGTAGTTTGTTATAGAGCAAAAGCTAATAGACCTAACAGATTCTTTAAGAATCTTAAGTTCTTAAGAATTCTTTAAGAATGACCCACGTTACCTTCATGTTTTCTATATTTCAATGTCTTCATCCACAAACTTAGGGGTTGGTTGGAGGACCTCTGCATTTCCTCTAGCACTACGATTTTTTTAAAGAACAATTATAATCACTTACACTTGTTTGTCACCAAACTTCACACCATTCCTTGATGGTTGGTCTCCCTGGAACCAATCACACTGCTTCCTAATGTCTGGAGACAAGTAAAAAGCATTCTCACCTAGAGAAAAGAGGAAGAAACAACATTTGAACCACATGTGAATTACATAGAAATTGGAATTAGTCTACTAAAGAGTTAAGTGGATCACATAATATTTATTTAGTCAATAAATAAAATTTGAATTTATTAATTCTTCCATATAAGCTAAGTCCAGTGATTCCAAACACTAAAAATGATGGTATTTGGTCCATAAAACATCTTAAGACAATATGTTCTATTTGGTAGTATTTTGGTCATTAGGTTAAAGATAATATTTACTCAATGTGAGGGGGAAGACAGAAAAATTCAAGTGGAGATTTAACAACTTCCAAACTCTGAACATCAAATTATAATCCAGTGACATTTAGTGGATTCTCAATGCTTTGCTGAACAAAACTTTGGTTTTAATCTTCTGAAGACAGGAACATTGGTTTCTGAGAGAACCTGAGCATTACTTTTGCTTCACATTTTTTTCCCTAAATCTTTCAGAAGACAGGCTTCACAAATGTGAATACTATATTCATGGACCTCAACTTTCCCTTGAGTAATAAATATTCAGCGTGGCCATGCTTGCTTATGCTTTATACGTTTCCCTTATTTGTTCGATATGTGGCCTGTGCTGACTCACTGTGCCAGACCCTGGGGAATATAACTGAGGCTGCATGTCTCCAGGAAACACACAGTATACCACGACCACAGACCCACAAACAGAAGACCAACATGTCACAAGATAGATGCCTGGGTCCAGTGTCCAGATTGACTATGAGCAGGTCTTAGGAGAGGGAGCATCTACAGTGAGGAAGAACATGGAGAGAGATTTTGAAGACAAACATGGCTTTGCTGCTAAGGCAGAGGGAGAGGACATTCTAGGAAGAAGAGATCCATTGGCAAAGACCCTGAAGAACCACGCATGGGGTTGGAGGCTAAGCCCAGATTGATGAGACCCCTTCTGGAATCTTTTCTCAACATCCACACCAGGATACACTTCTTCATGACACACCAGCATATTACTCATAGTAAGTGTGTGCTTAACCCATTTGACTACCCCGGTATAAAATCTTGGGAATACCAACACTGCATTGGGGCCCAAATACAGTGGAATAAATGAGTGAGTGAGGACAAAGATTGTTGTCTGTGTGTCCCCTGCTTACTCTGGTTCCTAAAAAGCCTTTCTGGCATATGGCTGGTGTCAATATGTATTTGTTGAATGAATGGACAAGTTCATGGTGGCCCACTGGTATCTTTCCCATGACTTGCTTCTCCAAGGATTTGGGCCAGCACAGAGCACAGCCAAGCAAGTCACGTGATCTGTGACATGGTACTTACTGCTGACAAAGGATGGCAACAGCCTCCCAAAGCGCATCAAAGGCTCCTCATTGAGCTCGGTTGACTTATCCACTAGTTTGAAGAAGACGTCATTGGGCTCACTGGCGAAGCCATACACCTCCTTGACGTTCACTTTCCGGCCAATGCCCAGAACCACGAAGAAGTAGCCCTTGCATTTGGCCTGCAGGATGGCTCTCTGTGCCTCCTCCAGCTGCTGCTTCTGCATCTCACCTGTGATCATCAGCACCACAATTTTCAGATCGCGTGGGTTGGGTGTACTTTCAAAGACGTTCTCTATGGTGTAGTCAATAGCTCTGCCCAAGGCCCTGGTTCCCTGCAGCTGTGTCATTCCTCTACTGAGGAAGTTAAGCAGCTTCTCCTTGGAGCCATAGTCCATCAGGGAGAATTCCACCTTCCCAGGCGGCACGCTGGCATTGCCTGCAGACTCGTAGGGTGTGTGCTGCACAACAGCCACTCTGGCAAAGTGCTGGGAAGCCTTGGGGTCTGGGCTCAGGTCCAGCTGCCTGACCAGGTAGCTGATATACTTCTTCATCTCGTTGAACTGGAACAGAGTGGTGGACTCTGAGCTGTCCAAGATGAAAGCCAGGTCAATGTCTGCATCGCTGCCTGCTGCTCTCCTGTCCCTGAAGGAAGGTCTCCAGCTGCCGAATCCACAGGATGGGTCAATGTTGCAAATGTCTAGAAAGAAACACCATTTTTTATTCTGTGACCCTGAGCTGCCTGTCCTGCTGGGAGACAGAGTGACTGAAACTGTCACATGAGATAGACACCTAGCTCGGTGTGATGACACAGGCCTGTAATCCCAACACTGGGGAGGCCAAGGTAGGAGGATCCAGAATTTAAGGCCAGCCTGGGCTACATGTTGTTACCCTGCCTTTAAACAACAAAGGAAAAGAAGCTTACTTATGCCTCACTGCCTTAACTGTGGCCAGATTTCATTACTAACTGAAAGGAGTAAACTAAAATCTTTGTAGTATGCTCTACAACACTGATACTTAAAAATCAAGATGGGAAAAAACATTACTCTCCTTCTTTGCCACTCTGAAGAAGTATGTTCTGAGAAGTCACTCAATCCAAACATTTGAATTCTAGATTGTAAGGTCAGAACTTGAACAGAGCCTTTCTCCCTTGTTATCTGTAAAATTAATTAGTCCCCTTAAGAAGAAAAACTCTGTTTGGGGGAACCCACTTTAACTGTGGAAGCTACTTACACAGCTTTTACACTGGTGACGAAATTTTTACATGAGTCTTACTTTACTGCGAGCTCTTTACACATAACTTCACTCAAATGTCCCTCTGCAGATGTTGGGTTTTGCAGCTGCAGGTGCACAGATTTCCCCTGAGATAAAAGAACCTTACCCAGGCAAACGTGGCAAGTGAGGACATTCTTCAGAAAGTCTGTGAGGTCCCCCCTGGCCGGCAGGACGAGTGCATGCCCCACTGCTGTGTTGTTGATCTGGTTTAAACAAAAGGAGTGCTTGGTACAGGAGTGTACAAGGTAAGAAACCACTCAAAACATAGCTGAGTAGTAAGTCAGTCACACCAGTGAGGTCAACTTCCCCACGGCTCAGGTTCTTCTCAATATATTTTGGAATGGGGGGCACAGAGCCCAAGAAGGAACCATGGTTCTGTTCTAATGTGATGCACTGAAGTTTAAACACCACTCCTCCATGTTCTTCTGAACCTAAAGCAAAATTTTTTAATCTTTCTGGGTTCCATTTCCTCTGCTATAAAGTGGGAATAGCGACACCTTCCTGATAGGGTTGTTTGGAGGATTGAATTAGGTATCTAAGTAAAGCACCTGGAGTTCCCTGTAGCAAATAGTAGGGATGAAAATATGTTGGGCTCAAACTCAGGGCCTTCTGTATGCATGGCATGTGCTCTACCGCTGAGCTACGCCTCCAACCCTTCATGATGGCTATTTTTAGCAAGCATGGCAGCTAACAAATATGAGTTCCATTCCTTCCCTGTCCTCTTGGGTTCAGATAATGACAAAGCAAGTGAGGAAATCACTCCCAAGAGATGTGAAGTATCCCACCTATCACAGTGGCCTGTGTGCACTCAGTTATTATCCACTCAATTGAATAACTAACTCAAATGAATGAGTGAATAATGAGTAAATGAATGCTTTTTATCTTGCAGGAAACATGCTGTTAAGAACCACCATGCCCTGGTCACAAAGGTCCCCTCAACAGCCCAAATCTAGTACTGGTCTCCCAAGTCCTGTGTTTTGCACTCCAACTGGCCTGCCATCTGGCAGCATAAACACTGAGGGATGGCAGCAATGACCCAACTGTCACTTGCTGACACCAGCAGTGATAAAACCATAAAATGCCCAGTTAAGAAGGAAAGACATTAGAGACCATCTTGCCCAGCCTGGCCTTTGAGGAGAGAAAGGTAAGACAGAGAGGTAGAGCGCCATGTCTATGCAACTTTAGATGGATAGGGGACAAGAATAAGGATCAAAGACTCCTGACCCTGGTCTGGAGTTCCTTTGCATCTGTTGTCCATGTATCTTGAAGAGTACCACCGGAAGTTCCCTAAATAAACATCAACTGATCAAAATTTACTTGTAAGCAAGTTATGTAAGCAGCTGAGAAGGGGCACAGGCCTCTCCATAGGTGGCCTGGAGCCTGGCTAACAAAAGGTTAGCACAGTGACGCACACTGGGAGTGCCAGGGTCACTGACGTGTAGGGAACCTCACTGAGAGGCTGTAGTAGACCTCAAGGACCAGCACTGACAAATTCCCCTCCAGGGCTGGTTGAGGCAGAGCAGGGTGGGCTGTTTGCCTAGGGCTTCTTCTCACTTGAGCCCATCACTGATTTGGGATCTTCCTCCCCACAGGTAGGGACTCATGCTGCAACCTTACTGACCTGTTGCAGGCACTAAGTGCCTGGATGGGGTCATGGGAAACAGAGAAAGATATCTAGGGAGAAACAAGACTGTTCCAACCTTCCAGACCCTCATGAAGAAACCACCCATTGGGAGACAGAGAATTCACCAGTACTAACTCCTTGGCTTGGGGGATGGGGACAGAGCCTGGCTGCCTGGCCTGTGCTGTCAGCACGTGTGGGGCCTGAAGAGAGCAAGTTACAAACATCTGGATGTTGACCCAGTGCCAGAGTCATAAGTGTATGGAAAACTCACAAGAGGTCTACCTTGCTATAAGCTTTTAGAGTTAGGGGACCCAAATCCACCATGGAAAGTGCCATGTGCCTGGCAACCTTCTCAGGGACAAGAAGTGGGGAGAGACCACCAAAGCACCCAGACTCCAGACCTGCAAGGCATTGATGAGCTGTCGGTCCTCCTGGCTGGTAAGGAACAAGGGTGTGATTCCTGCATCAGAGAGTTTGAGCACCGCCTCGCGCAGCTGCGGGGACTCTCTTGTGGGCTTGTTGCTGAAGAAAATGGCCACTTTCCTCATCAGGAACCCGTTCCTCACACGCTTGAACGTGTTTCTGGCCACAAATGACATGGCTGTCTCCAGACTCTGTTGCTTGGATGTCAGAGACACCTGGAGGTTCTGAATGCTGTCCAAGAGGGCGGACTTCTTCCTGGAGTCAGCAAAACGGATCTCGGTGGTCACCTCATTGTTATAGGTGACCACAGCTACTCGGGCCCCCCTCGGGCAGTTGCTTTCAGCAATGGTCAGATCACCCACGATCTGCAGCAGCACATCTCTCATCCGGCTAAAGATGTCTTGGGTGACCCCCTCTGAGGTGTCCAAGGCAAAGGCAAGCTCTGTCGGGAAGACAGGGCACTCCAGGGGCCCTGTGGAAAGTAGGTATTGTAAAGACAAGCTTTACTCACTGGCAAGGGTCTTGCTTTCCTCAGAAGAAAGTCAAGCCACCGAAATCCACTCACCATAGCAGCAAGCTGTAAGGAAACACAGAGAAGAAAAGGGTGAGAGGCAGGCCTACTGTGTGAGGGCTGCAAGAGTGAAGCTGATGGGCTATGGACACACAAAATTATGTACTCACGGCATTTATCCTTGATGCTCTGGATCAGCGCACATTGCTTAAAAAGAAAACAGAAGAGTACGTAAGGAGAGCAGCTAACACGCAGACAAGACAATGGTTCACACTGGGCATGGGCTACTTACATCAATGGAGTCGCCTCGGTTGCCCTTGTGACCCTGTAAAAGCAAACAGAAAGGCTGAGAGATGGAGGATGTGGTGGACAGGGGTGGTGGAGGAGAGGGTAGAAGGACGGGTGGGCATGATCAGAGCGTGATATATAATGTATGGCGATGTCAATGAAACCCATTGATTCGTATAGTTCATTTGTGTTAAAATTTGTAACAATAAAAATAAATAGAAAAAAACAAAAGAAGTGCCTTTGGTCACAGAAACATGACAGGAAGACAAGGTGGATGTTGGATAACCTTGGTCGTTTATGGCCTCTCCCTCTAAACTTGACTCCAGCTCTTGCAGAGCAAAAGAGAGAAGACTTTGACAGTAAAGTGTTTCCCCAGAATGTCACCTGGCTTTGAAGTAGCTCCACACCCAGACAGCCTGGAGGCTCCTTTGCTCAGCCATGTAGATCACATACTTGAACTTGAATCTGGACATTGCTTCTTCCTAAGAAGAGCTTCTGGCTCTTGTGTGTGCTTCATCTATCCTGTACCCCAGAAGCCAAGGTAAGGAACCACTGAGCTGTCTTCACCCCCTCCATGGAGAAATCACCTGATCTCCACTGGGTTGTCCCATCTGGATCTGGGGACAGACTTTTGACTACTCTTAGCGTCTGTCCCAATGTCTTGTCAGCCCAATGGTCAAGCAGTCATCTCATGGGCCAGTTAGCCATCTTGCCCTCTGGCAGTTTCTCCTACTTGGCCTTCTGCAGTAACTGACCTAGCATACCTCTTAAGTGCTTTACTCACTGAAAGGGAGAGGGTCAGACCCACCAGACTCAGTCCTCTTCTCCCTGGTCCCTCAACCTTTCCTTCTAGAAGTGAGAAACTGACTCCTGAATCGTGTCCATTCTTCTTTAAACCTCATCCACTGCAATATAGGGACTAAGTCAGATAAGGAACAAAGATATCAGTTCTAAAGAGTCCTCCTGGATTCTGGTGGGAACAGGACAAGTAATTTTAAACCATGTATCGGTAGCCACCTTGGGGATTTCACAGACCAAAAGAAGTATTCCCCAAACCTGGACCTGAGATATTTATACATTTTCACAAGACACAAGCAAAGGGTATTGAAATTTATTCTACTTTCCTCTGTACAAATCTATATCAGGAAATCATAAGTTAAATTATAATATAATTATAATAGCACATGAAACACTTTTTGTTGTTCGTTTTACAGTGCTTGGGATCAAGCCCAGGGCTTGAGCTACCTCCCACTGTTTTCATGAAATACTTTTTCAAAGTTTCTTGTTACTCCAAAACTCTAAGTTCTTTTTCTCCATTATGGCATCAAAAGGAATAAAAGTGAACAACAACCAAAAAACAAAACAAAACAAAAAAGCAGCAAACCTTCTGTGTGAGGAAAGAAGAGGCAGAGACGTCTTCAGGGATCAAGTATAAAAGCCTCCAGCCTCCTTCCCTACCCCAGGGGTTTGCATGGAACTGGGTGGGTACTTACAGATGGCCCTGGGTAGCCAGGGTCTCCCTTCTGTCCTACTATCCCCGGAGGTCCTGAATTTCCCTAGAGAGGGCAGAACAAGCATTTTTTGGTTATGGTAGAAGATGCAGTTGGAAGGGATGACAAAGGTGACCTACCCTAATGTTCCCCCATCCCTCACTTTAAGGGAGCTCAATTGTCTCCAAAATTCAAGTGCACAGACAATGACCTTAGTAAAACTACTGTGAGTCGCTACAATTGTGCTAAAGTAAGACCCATGCTTGTCTCTGAACCATTAATAAGATTATCTCTGAATGCCAGAGAGAACTGGAAAGTGACAATGAATTGAATTAGACAATTGTTCACTGTAATGAGTCCGATGTTTCAAAATTCTACCTTCAGCAGTACTGCTCTAGCTCGACCGTCTTCACTGATCAAATTAGCAGGATAGTTGTAATTATTAGCTGTATTTCAAGCTAAAAACAACCGTTAGCAACATTTACCTATATCTGGACCACAATTTGCAATTCGAGACTCAGTACACTCAGGAGAATGAGTGAACATCCATTGGAAATGGGGGTCCAGAACCAAAAGCAGTTAAAGAGCAGTCTCATTGGCCAGGGGTTGCTGAGCTCCCGGCCGCAGCCTGGCTCAAGCCCTCAGAAGCATCCCGTGCACCCATTAAACCCTGCTGCCTCACAGTCTGGGAGGCCAATGGGACTGTGCACGCTGTTGACATCATCCAGACGAGACTTAAGCCTCTCTTGCACCACGCTGGGGGTGACTATGGGCTATTGAGGTGTGCTGGAGGAAGAGGCTCACAGGAGGTCCCCACAGTGGGTATTGCTGAAGGAGGAGAGTGCAGCTCACAGCCTGGCAGGATTGTGAGCACATTGGTCTGAGGCTCAGGGTTTCCCTTTTCCACCCTCAGCTATCCCTGGCCAGGTCAAGCAGGAAGAATGATGGTTTTCAAAGGCCCCAGCAGTCTGCCACACTGCCACGTGCTTCTCATTCCCACCAGTAACAAGGAGCAGGTGGACTCACCCTTCGGCCTCTGACACCTTTTGGTCCTGGTGCACCATCTGTCCCAGGCTCACCAGGGGTACCCTGGGAAAAGAGCCAAGAAGCAGCACATCAAGTTCTAGACCAGAAGGCCCAGCTGGACCCAGTGGGGCATCTGGACCACACTTTCCAGGGTAGTGGAAGAGTTAACTGAATTACTTCTCCAGAGGGTCCAGTGTGTTTGTGGCATTTGCAGACATCCTGGATTTATTTAATCACTAAAGATAAGTTCATGTAAATTATGGCATTTTTCAGCTTACAGGTTCTGTGGATCACAGTCCTGCTCCGTTTTCACCCCCAAGAACGAGTGCACTCTCACCTCAATCGACAGGTCTTAGAGAAGGTGTGGTCTCTCCCAGGGCAGCCCCGTTAGTGACAGGCTGGCTTGAGACCAAAGCCAAGATATTCCAATACAGTTTGTGTACACACCAGGCTTCTCCAAACATGGAGTACTCCATCACCCAGGGATATTTACCTTTGGTCCTGGGTACCCAGGGAATCCTCTTTCTCCCTGTGAAAGATAAATGAATGACTCAGGGTTGGGTCCCAACTTAAGTCTATCTAAAAAAAAAAGTTATCTTGCAAGAAAAAGGTCTGAAGACTTACCAAAACACAAATATCACTAACATACAAAAATATAAAGAAATTATTCTGTAAAAATACAAGCGGGCAGGATCTCCTAGCAACAGGGGCTCTTTATGAAGCCTGGGCAGGTACTTACTTTTTTGCCTCTGCGTCCTTCACCTCCAACTCCATCTCGCCCATCATCTCCCTAAGAGTGGGAAAGAGACCATCACTGCAGGTGGCTGTGCTGGGCACCCACACCCATCAGGTCACTCTGCTACTGCCCTGAGCAGAGAGTCCATAAGTTCCTGAAATGTTTCTGGACTGAGGTACAAAAGCAAGTATACTTCCTGCCATATCCCATCCTTCAGGTGCTTAAGCTAGGCCATGTCTGTAGGATGATCTAGCAGCATGGTGCTGGTAGACAAAATGCAAAGAACTGCAAATGCTCTAATATGATAAAGAAATGTAAAATGCAAATGTGACGTAGATACCGACAGACGTGGCATCAGAAGCTCATCGAACCAGGGAATGTCAGAGATGGAACAAGATTCCCTCCTGTGTCCTTGAGTCTGCAAGGTTACTTCAAAACAGGGACATTGATCTCGACCCCTCAGGCCCCCTGAGTCTCCTGTGTGCAGGTCTCTCTTCCCTGTCCATAGGCCCGGGCCCCTTCCTTCCAGGCATCCCTCTCCAACACCTGTGCACCCTGCACGCTCGGATCCATTCCGAATGGACACTGTTTATTATTCCAAAAGAATCAGAGAATTTATATGAAATACATATCTAAGCTTTGGGTGTAACAGCCTGATGAACTGGGTCTATCAGTACAGCTTTCAGACATAGTGATTCATTTTAGAAAAATTCCATATGAATACGGATCTCTTTTTCCTACACAGAAATGTGTGTCAAAAAGTATTATTAGTGAGTAATTGGAGAATTCTAATAACATTTCAAACATAAGCTGTTGAGGGAATAATCTCTATTCCTAGGAACCCCATTCGAAAGAAATTGTCGGTATCTGCATGGAGACCTTACGAAGTCCCGTTCCACTTTAACCCAAGGACATTTACTTTCTGCAGAAAAGCGTCATCGAGCCACATGTGCAGGACCTAAAAGGAAGGTGCTTCCAGCTCCAGGAAAATATACTCACTCATCAGGAAAAAAATGTCCTTACCCACTCTCCTGCCCCACCAGTGGAATAAAACTTATGTCAAAAGTCATTGTCTGTTTAAAACAGCAGGTTTCACTATTTTCAATGGTATCCCCACTAATACAAGAAGCAACACTCAACACCCCTTGAGAGCACACATCAGGCTTCCTGCACCCTCCAGCAGGGTCACTGGGTGGCCTTACCGTCTCCCCACGGGGCCCGCGGTTCCCAATGCCTCCCTTTGGCCCTGGCTCTCCAGGCTCACCCTATACAGAGGGAAAAAAGAAAAGGTGCTGTTTGCTGAAGCTGGCCTACAGGGAGCCCAGGCCGGCTGCTTTAGTGGTACCTCTGTGGTGACCAGGGGGACTTGCTGGCCACATAGGTTTGAATGAAATTATTTTTTATTGCAGTAATCCAGGCACAGAAAGACAGCTACTACATGTTCTCACTAACATGTGGAAGCTAAAAACTGGAGGAGCTCGTAGCAGAGAGAAGAACACAGTCACTAGAAGCTCAGAAAGCAGGGCATGGAGAAAGGTTGCATAATGGGTGCCAACACACAGTAAGGAAGGAGGAAAAGTTACAGTGCATCATAGCACAGTACAAGAAACACAGTTTATAACAGCTTATTACGTATCTCAAAATAACTAGAAGAGAGGCGGTCAAAGGTTCCCAACACAAAGAAAGGCTAACTGTCCTGATTTGCTCTTGACTTGGTACTTCGATGTACCAAATAACACACTGTACCAATTATAAATATATACAGTTATTATATTTCAATTTTTAAAAGAACAAATGTGTGTTTTAACTGCAACATTTATGTGTGGACTCCTGTGCTTGTTTCTTCTGTAGCATAGGGGACAGGCTAATGAGGATGAAAGACAGAGAAAGAGAGCAGGTGGCAGGAAAGAGACCCAGGTCATTCAGCAGTGATCCAGCACCAGGAGACACAGAGCCCACCCAGCTCTTTGACTGGGAAAAAGTCATTTTTTTCAGACTGGTGATAGTTGTCATTTTCCTCCAGGCTGTAAATTTTAGCAGGGTCTCAGCTTTTGTGTCCCAAGTTTGCTGTATCCCCAGTGGTGGGATCTGGACCTCCTGGGTGGTCTCCTGGGTCACAGAGCTGCCACGTGTGAACTGCCCATTCTGTGTAACACCGCGACTGTACAGAGCTCTGCCTGGCTGTTCTGGGGCTCTGAGGTCACTGTTCTGTTGGCACATGCCAAGGCAACGATAGATCAGACAATCAACCAGAGGTTGGAGGAAGTTGAGAAAGAGAAGCCAGTCTACTAAGCCAGTGGCAAGGACAGTGACCCCACTGATGGAATGCTACAGCAAAAGGATAGGAGATGTGCAAACTAAGCCAGTGGACAGAATGACAAATGAGAGAGAGGAAACAAGTGTATCTGGCCAGGTCCCCACCTTGGCAAAGCTCTACCTTTCTCCAGACAAACCTTTCTTCCCAGGGGACCAGTTCTGCCACGTTCTCCAGGAGCCCCAGCTGTACCTGCGCCTCCCTGCAACACAAGGAGAAGGAAGTGCGTAAGGTCTTCACTGCCTGGGTCTCTGAATCCACACTCTTCCCTGCACTGTCGTCTCAGCCCTCAGGGCAGGTGATCTGTTTTGCCTACATCCCACAACTCAACGTCATGCTTCGTGCCACTGATTCAAGAGGCTTCAGCAAACTTGAAGTGTGGTTGTTGCCTCCCAGGACCATTCTCCACAAACTGGTGCATGAGCACAACTAGATCACAACTAGACACCACGCCCCGACTTCATGTGACTTTGTTCCCCCTCCTGTTCTACACCCCACACTGAGCAGCTGACATATACAGGTACACAAATACTTATTAAGTGAATGAGTAAATCAATGAATCAAAGTAACTCTTAAAATGAGGTACAGGCTCACACCTGCAATCCTAGCTACTCATGAAGAAAAGATTAGGAGGACCATAGTTCAAAGCCAGTTGGGGCAAATAGTTCTCAAGACCCTATCTCGAAAATACCCATCACAAAAAGGGCTGGCAGAGTGGCTCAAAGTGAAGGCTGTGAGTTCAAGCCCCAGTATTACAAAAAAAAAAATGAGGTGCAGCCTATACAGTCCAGAAATGCCCCTAAAATTGATAGTGGGGAAGCACAAACTGATGCCCGTTTCTGGGGCTAACGATTTTGCTGGTTTAAATTCTTAGTTAATTAGAAGTTAAACAAATGTTTTAAAATGCAGAAATTTTAAAAATAGGTATTTCTCAGCTCTCAAGCATAGAACTTTCTAAGTGAATGACAGCCTTGCAAATTTCCTGCTGGCCTCCACTTTTTTGTGCATTTCTTTGGCAACAGACCTGCTTGTTACCAGTTCACTAGTCATTGTGACTTTCTGTAACAAGTGACAGCATCTCTCCCTCCGTATTATCTTAGTCTCAAGAAAAAGCAGGACAGAGAGTTCCTGGCCACTGACCCTGGCCCAACAACAACACCATGTTTCTGCTCCTCACAGCCAAGAGCTGAGATGCATACTGGTGTCTGAGGTCCAAGGACATTTAAGGAACATGAGGATAGGGAAGTCCTTGTATCAGAAAAGGGGTTATATCTAGTCAGAAGAGGCCTGGTATGAAACATTTCACATAATCTAAGTATTTTAGTGACTTTAGCTAGATTTTACACAGTCTCATCCTAAGACTTCTGAGACGAGGCACATTCTTCCCTTGCCTACCACAAGGGCCTACATCTGGAAGGAGTAATTTGGGGACTTAGAAGTCACTGGAGCACCAAGAATGGGGGGAAGATCTCTTATTTCCTGGGGTTTATTTAGTAGCCAGTCACTGTGAGGATTCAGGTTGGATCCAGGATCTCTGTTGCCACAAAGTAAGGTTACAGGGCAGGTCTGCCTATAATACTTCATCCACAGAAGTCTGTGGATTGAGATCAACTTACCCGAGGTCCAGAAATGCCTTGTTCCCCAATCAGGCCTGGAGGACCAATGGGACCAGGTGGGCCCTGAAGAGTAAAAGGTCACGGTTACAGGCAAGTACTGTTGAATTCACTCTCCATGAGCACCCCCTGGATGAAATCCATTCACAGTAGCCAAAAGATGGAGGTAACTTAAATGCCCAGCAACCGACAAATGGGTAAACTATGTTATATGCATGCAATGGAGTATTATACAACCATTAAAAGGAATGAAATTCTGAAGTATGCTGCAACATGGCTGAACCTCAAAAAATTACGCTAAGTGAAAGAAGACAAATTCAAAAGGCCACCTATTAAATTATTTCATTTATATGAAGTCTCCAAAGTAGGCAAATCCATAAAGACAGAAAGATAGCTGGTAGCCAGAAGCATGGGGTAAAGGGTGATGGGGAGGCTGTGTCTCGTTTGAGACAAAAGAGTCTCCTATGAGATTAATAAAAATGTTTTGCAATAATTGCACATGGTGAACATCCAACACGCCACCTAACTGTTCACTTTAACAGGGCGAATTTTGTGTTATGTAAACATCACATCACCTTAGGGTTCGTAAAGTACCCAGACACCTGGGGAAATATCACAAGGCATGCAATGCTCAGGGGCCACTTACCTGTCCACCTCTGGTACCTTGTTCTCCTTCAAAGCCTGGCTGGCCTGGATTGCCCCTGTTGCCCTTAGAGACAAGAGAAGACGCAGGGTGGCATCAGGATGGCTTACAACATCGGTTCTTTGTTCTATGGTCAGCTCTGAACTAGGGAAACAGGGAAAATGCAGCACCCCCCTCCAGGCCACAAGTAAACACAGTAACCCCAGGATGAGGTACTGAACCCAGAGCAGCCGTCTCTCTGCACTTGTACAACTGCTTCTCACCCTTGCCTCACCTGTTTCTCAAGAGAGTTTTGTAAAATAAGGATATTTTTAGACTTAAGCTTGTCTGACATAGGTGAGAGGACAGATATGTGGGTTCTTCGTGGAAGGGAGCTCCCCAGGACACCACCTTCTCAGCTGTTTTCCTTCCTTTCACCCACTCTGGGAATCATTTCAAAGACCTGTACCAGGGACTGAGTTTGCTGTGATGGTGAGAAAGAGGGCAGTAGCTCTTTGTGCTTGGCTGCGGCAGTCTGTGCGGTGCCTCATTGCCCAGGCTGACTGTGTCCTAGAAGTCACCTGGGTGTGTGACAGTGTGACTGAAGAACAGAAGTATCAATGCAGGAGCTTACCTTCACTCCTGCAGGTCCCCTTCGGCCAAAGCCACCCTGTAGAAAAAGTCAGACAGCTGTTAGAGGCAGATGGAGACACGAGCATAGGGTCTGGGGCTCACTGAGACTTAACCTGAGTATCTATCTGTTGCTGTCACCCACTTTGTGCCAGAGACCAGCAGCTGTTCCTAGGCAGCACTGGGGAAAATTGCATAAACACTCCCTTCCTCCCCTCTTGCTCCTACACTGCTCCTACTAATAGCTCCAGTGGAAGTTTGAGAATTACTTCAGACAGCCAAATAAAATACTGATGACTTCTAGCCACACTATTGCAGCCAACTTCAAGCGAGGAATGTGAAACAGGACCGTCAGTAACTTTCCTAATTGTAGTGAGCAGCAGTGCAACACATTCATTATGGTGGAAAGGAGTTCTTAGCTCACCATATCATCCTGGCTGAATACAACATATACTCAGTCAAGCAAAGTATCCTGAGTGCACATATGTGAACCTGAAAGGCTCATGTCTGGGCCACCTCTTCCTGGATGCTCCAGAGGTGACCCTTGTTCAAATATGCGGACTTACTTCATGCACAGCCCATTCGTTCACACCCAGTTTCTGTCCTCTGGGGTGGAGAGGCGTGGGTGGGAACTTGTGGATGCTGGGGTTTGTCTTTGCATGGTCAGGGTTGGCGTTCCAGAGCCTGGTGTGTGCCAGCTCTATCACAGGCTCAGTCCACCTGCTGATCAACCTAGAACCACATTCTCCACTCCCAGTGGACATCCCAGCGATCTTCTGCAGTGATTACTGTCATCTTTCACTGTCGAGCCTCCTTCCACAGAGTTGGGGGAGTGGGTTATTCCAGAGTAACAATCTGCCCTAGTTCCTCCTAAAGGGGTCATCCTATAGTTACATCAGAATCCATTACTGCTCAGGGACTCATTGGCCAGTGTCACTGCAGAGACCCAGAAGGGGTGACCTGAGGCGTAATCTAGCCCAATGATGGGAGGGGGAGACACAATGCATCTTGAGCTAAGGAGGGACCTCTCAGCCAGTCCTCACCCTGACACAAATTTACTCTGTACTCCATCTCCCCAAACCCGAACTGAGACTACAAGAGCCTTTGACTGTAACAGGACTTCAACCCAAGGTCCTGCCTCATGCCTGACGTTGAAACTAATTGTGTGCACTACAGCGCTTTCAATCATTTCATGAAGACAAGTTTGCTTCTGCTCACAAACTGAGTTGTCATAGTTCATTGCAACAGTTACTGTGTATTTCCTTCCTTCTTTTCCATTGTGTAGCTTGTCAACACTATTCATCAACAATGCTCAAACTCTTTAAGATGGCATTTTCACATTTGGTTTGCTTATGAGTTTTAGAAGCACAATGAAGCCCTCATCTACTGTTTGCTTACAGGGGAGTCATTAGCTCCTCTGGAAAGCCCTTCACCTTGAATACCTAACTGCTGGAACCTGAGTGTGCTGTTGTGGTTCAGGAAAATGGCTGGGGCACCATTCTCAGCTGCCCAGCCCCTGTGCACAGCTTTCATGCTGTTTATTCCTGAGCAGAGAGCCATCCTAGACACCCACCAACTTCCTGGACTTCCCCCTGAAGGCATCCGCTCCACCCATGGAGGGACACTCTCCTCCCAGCTCTAAGGGGCTAGAAAAATTATATCACCTTGGCTTCTGCCTTTCTTCAACAAGCCTGCAAGACAAGGTGGTGAGCTACTCTGCAGCGACATTCCTGAGATGCCTTGAAGAAGCAATTCCAGGATGCAGTGCACTGGGACAAACTGCACCTACCTTCCTTGTGAGTGACAGCAGCATGAAAAGCACTCCCCTACCATTAACATTTCTGTTTGAATTTTTTAAATCTTTACTGTGATAAGAACTGGCCAAATATTTGAAAGCAGAAAAGGTATTACTCTTTAAAGTGTGTTTGGTTTGCTTGTTTTGAAGGAAAAGGATACAGGATTGGGGAACGGAGAAGAAATGGAACACAGAGTAGATTATAAGAATAAAAATTTTCTGTAAGCAGAAAGTTTGGGTAATAATACAAATCTTGCCCTTCTCCCTTCTGTCATGTGATGATGCAGCACGAGGGCCCCTACTGGACACTGGTGCCATGCTCTTAGACCTTGTGGGCTCCAGAACCCCAAATAAATGGGCTAGGGGTGCAGCTCAGTGGAAGAGTGCTTGCTCAGCATGCACAAAGCCCTGGGGTCCATCCCGACACAGAATAAACAACTTCTGTTCATTTTAAATTACCTCATTGGTTGTATTCTGTTCTATAGCATTAAAAACTGGTTTCAGAGATCCCTTTCAATTCCCTAAATAAGAGCTGCTGAGTAGCTAGCTATATGCCAGCACAGTCACTGGAACAGAGTTGCCCACAGCATGTACCAGGCTGTAGTTGGCAGACCACGTGTCCCCATAGAGCACTCGAAAGCCCTAAGGTACTCACGTCCTTCCCAGTCTCTCCTGGACTTCCAGATGCGCCGTCTCTCCCAGGGACACCCTGGTGTGGGGAAAAACAGCATGAGTTTCTTATCTGCAGAGAAGAGCATGTACCTCTGGAGTGTTGCCTCAGACATTGGGGTGGGGGGGCGTCCATTCCCAAGAGAGGGGCTGTGTGTAGGGGGATGGAGAGTTGTCACGCCTCCTGTGGGATGCCTTAAACTAACTGCATTCCCACCTCTTCACGTCTTTGGCTTACTTGGCACTTCCTGCACATATCTAAGGGGCATGAGTTCTGCCTGGAAACAGCCATGCCTGGTTGCTTTGGTTCCCTAGAGACTTCCTTCCTGGCACACACATGTGTTGTCACCAGGACACTGTTGCTGAGCTCATGACACACTGTGCACTTAACAGCCACATCCACACCTCTGTGACTGCTGATGAGTCAATGTGAGAGTTATTTCTTTGTCCTTGAGCACAGGGAGAGTCCATGAATATGGCACACTTTACCATGGGGCCAATGTCACCCGTCTCTCCTTTGGGTCCTCTCTGCTGGCTGTCCTGTCCTGAGTCACCCTGAAAACAACACAGGCAAGGTATAGAGCCACGGTGCATGAGAAGGAGAGCCACTGCTGCCATCACGGATAATCCAAAAATGATCAGTGATGATGTGACAATGTGACCATGAGGCCCCAAAGGGCAGTCCTTCAAGTCACACATCCAGCTCTGACAGAGCATAGCCATGGGCTCAGCATGGCTGAGGTGGCCAGAGTCTTCCCCAGGGAGGAGACACTTAAGGCTCACTTTTGCTGTCCTCAACCATAGAGGCAGAGAGCCTGGAGAAGAGGCCAGACAGGTGATGGTCATTTACTTAGAGGTTTTATAGAGCCAAGAAATAATGAAAGCTGCAAATGGTTCCCTTTTAGAAAAACAAATTGAAAGTGTCCTGAGACAGCACCATAAGAACCTCTTGCTTCCTGTTGTAAACTTGCAAGCACTTATCTTTATAGCTGGAAACCGTACGCATCTCCAGCAGCCCCGAGGTTGCAAGAGAAAGACAATGCACGCATTTCAAAGCTATTTCAAACATAAGAGTCTCCTTCCATTTTCTCCCATAAACCTCCTCCCCCATTGCAGATCTAAGATTCCCAAGAAGCAAATCTTCCTCACCGGGTCACCTCGAATCCCAACGTCTCCTCTTTCTCCTTTTTCTCCCTTTGGTCCTTTGTCACCCTAAATGAAACACACAAGTGCAAGCTAAAAATTCAATGTTTCCAGGTTCTTTGTAAATTTCACTGTGGGTCTTTCTGGTTCTCAACATGATACCATGAGATACAAATGATGAAACAGCTGCCACAATGAAGGAACCACACACTGTCATCTCCCACCACTATCATCTCACACGGTTGCTTCATTCTTGTGACAAGAGCAGCTGAAATCTATCTACTTAACTAAAATCCTAAGACAATACCATTTCATTCGCCAGAGGCATCAGGTCCTCAGGCTTGTTCATCAAACTTTTGTCTCTACCTGCAAAACCACATTCTTTATTTCGTAAATCTTAAATAGAACAGCACTGAGCATTTTCACATTTTTCCATAAAGGTAAAATCACTTCCAAATATATCGGATTTGTTCAGGTAATCAGTGAATATTTACTGAGGACCCTCTCTGTGCCAGGCACTGAGGAGTTATTTATAGCAAAACCAACTCAGCCCCTGCCCTGTGGGATGTGCTCTTCAGCCAGAAAATACCACGTGATGTGGCAGAGCTGACCGGGCATATGGGGGACATCATGGTGCACCTGTAGGGAGGTGAGGGGGCTGCTACTACCTACATGGTAGAGAAAATGTCCCTAAGGGATATGTTCACGTTCTTTCTGTCAGAGCAGCACTGTGGAGGCACCTACCCTTCTGCCAGGATTGCCTTTCTCTCCAGAAGAACCCGGCAACCCTTTGTCTCCCTGCAAAGACAACAAGAAGAGGTCACGCCTGGCACAACTGCTCCCGCAGACTGAGTTGTTAGTTGGTAGAATTCTGGGACTGGGAGCAGTGTGGACTTAGAAAGTCAAATCACTTACATCTTCTCCATCAAGACCATCCAGCCCGATTTCTCCTAATTCGCCCTGAGAGGGAATAAGGCAGACGGGTGAGTGCAGGAAGTTATTCTGGCAAATGAGAAATACCAGGGAGGTTTTCAATGTAAAAAGCAAACACGAGCTTGAATACCTTCTCTCCTGGGAATCCTCGCGAACCCTAGAAGGTAAAGGGACAGGGGAAACCTCAGGACAGAAGCCAAGACATGTCCTCCACCCCCATCTGAAAATTTACTGTTAGAGATTCATCTCTTTGGCTTCCTCTCCCACCATCACATGGAGTGTTATAAAATTACTTTGCCTGGACCTAGACACTTGGTGGCCATGGCTCTCTCAGCAGCAGGGTAACTTCAAAACCCAGGGCAAGAGGCTCTGAAGGCAAAGCCCACTTTATAACTTTTCTGTCCGTCCCTTCAGTACCTGCTTTCAAGCTTTAGCAAGTAGGGGGAAAAAGTTTATCTGCCCTGGAATCCTTGTGCTGCTCACTGGCATTCTCCCTTCTTCCCTGTTTCCTCCCAGGTCCCAGGGCCCAAGGCCACCTGGACCAGCCTCCTGCCGAGCCCTTGTGACTGTCTCCTGGCTGCTCTGTGTTTCCATAGGAAACTATTTCTCCACTCTCAGGAGGCCTTCCAGGCCTGGCTGTGCTCTGTACTCCCAAGCCACCTGACATGGAGCCACCTGCAGATCGAGGCTCCAGCTGCTGGACACTGAGAACACAGAAACCCAGGCTGGTGGTCCTCCTCTCCCAGGCACTTAGAGAAGCCCAGTGTCACCCGGTATGTGTCTATCCTGACTCCCGGGCCCCACACTTACCTTGACTCCTCTCTGGCCTGGGCAGCCCTGGAAGCCTTGAGTGCCGTTCACACCAGGAGGACCTCGCTCACCCTGTTGGGAAAACAAATGCAGATTAGAAGTTGATCTCCTTCTCCTGTGACTCTGCTGGGTCTGCCCCTGGAGAATGGCACGGCACGCCATGGAACACATCTCACTGTGACCATGCTGCATGTGTGTCAGGAGCCCTGGCACCTCCTAAGAAGCTGGGGCTCCCTGGAGGGAGTAGTTCCCAGGGTCTGGCTAGCCAGTCAAGGGTGGGTGGCCCCAGATGCTTGGTGTGTGGGTCCCCAAAGAGGTTCATTGGCCCTGATAGCACCACTGCATGCTTGCGGTCCCCAGCTGTCCCACGGGGCTGGGTTTAGCCCTGATACCCAGCACCCAGGCTGAGGACCTGGAGACCTTATCTACTCCCCCATGAGCCCTCTATCTCCCCTCCCAAGCCTGGACCTTGTTCTACAGGGCCTGTAAACCTCTCAGATCCACAGATGTCCCTTGTTCTGCTCACCCCACCCCCAGACCCTGTTTCTGGGCAGTTCCCTCACCAAACATTGGTGGCTGATTCAGCAACAGCTCTCCGGGATACTCCCTCAGGTGGAGAAAGTATCCCGTTCAGGCTCTCTGCTCCCCACCATAGTTCAGGCTTATTGCACCCTTCTCTCCGATGGTGGCCAAGTGTAACCCCTGCACGTCATACGTGCATTTGTCATACACAGAGTCTCCACAGTCTTCCACAGTGGGACATTTTTGTTAAGGAAGTTAGAAAATAATCTTTCTCCTAATGAGAAAGCAGGTTACGAGCTCTGCAATTCAATCCCACCACGTGGGGACAAGAGGAAGTAAGAACTTAAGGAAGAAGGCAACTTTTACTCACTGGTCCGCCCTCGTCACCAGGGTAGCCTCGGTAGCCATCTTCCCCGGCAATGCCCTGAAACAAAGCACAGGGTTCCTGAGTTAGATCAGGGCTGTCTTTGTTCTGTGTGGAACGTCTCTGAGACCCCCTTCATTTGGCAGAGCAGTGCTAAAGGTTAGCATGGTCATGGGTGTTGCCTGGAGCTGGACGGTGTTCCACCACTCCAGTGGAATAACTTTCTATCCAGACCTTACCAAGAAATCCTGTTGGTTTCCTATGAGAGGCAAATGAGAAGGATCCAGGCTGACCAGCACAGGCAGCTACCCACCAGTGATACCCACTGGTTTTAACATCATTTTATGAAACAAAGAACAGATTCCCTGGTCCCACAGAAAAGGACAGTGTGGCAGACACTTGGACTTCTGCACCGTCTCCAGCAGGTTGTCTCTGGGCAACGCAGCTTGTGGGTCTGCACCCTGGAAGCGCTTGTCCACAACATGAACGGCACTCTCTCCTACCTCCGTGCTGTGACACGAGAAGTCATCCAGACAAAGTAATGCTGGACTTTGAGGTCTGGGCTCAGGCATCAGAAGAGGGTACGAACCCCCCTACCTTCGGTCCAATGCTGCCAATGGGTCCTCGGTCTCCCCTTTCTCCTGAGCATTTGCAGGGAACCCCACAGCAAGCTTTCTCAGCAATGTTGTCCTGCCAAGATGGGGGGGGAAAAAAAGGTTAAATCTCAGGCCGAGGGTCCTGATCCTGGCAGTCAGGGTGGGGTGGGAAGTCCTCACAGGAGAGAAAAGAGCAACCAAAGCACGGTCTTAACCACAGTGTCCTCTTAGACTTATTTCTAGAAGTTTCCAACAGAGAGCACAAATTTCAAATTTTAAGTATAATTTCCATATGTTTAAACTACAAATGCAAACCCAACAAACAAATTGCAGCTAACCAGGACTGAAGGTGGCTCCCACAGCATGGTGTGCCTTCCTCAGAGCCGTGGTCAGTCATGGAAAATGGTACCAGCCTGACCAGCCCGGAGGGGGCCCCAGAGCAGCCATGGGGCAGAGCAGCACAAGGCTCCCAGCCTTGCAACTCCAGGTCACTGACGCCTCCAGCAAACACCCTCAGCATTCCTGACCCTGTGTGCAAAGTACCCACCTTACACACTTCCATCTGCTGCACGTGCATTTTTTGCAATGACCTTTCTAGACTTTCACTTTCTGCCATGTCCTAACAATGACCTTTCTAGAGCTTTCACTTTCTCCCATGTCCTAGATTCTTCAACAGACTCCACCTCCTTCCACCCCACTAAAACAAAAACAAAAACAGACCAATTCTGGAGAAGGAGGGTTGGGGGAGCAAGGGCAGAGCCAGTCCCTCCCACTCACCCAGCCATACTCCCCATCGCCACCACAAGAAAGCCTCTGAGGTCAGCATTCCACCCACAGCTCCCACCCCCTCCTCACAACATCTCCCGCTGTTGGAGGCAGGACTGGCTGAGGCACAGGGAGCCTGGAGGGCTCCTTGGTTTGTGCTAAAGGAACACGGAGGGAAGGAGACAAAAGCACTTCTCCATCCAGAAATGACTCGGTCTTTCTTCTCCTGCATAGCCTTGCTCTCAGCACATAAACTTTCAGATACTGTGGACACGGTTTCCTGTCCGGGATGGCCAGTCTCAAGGTTTTGCATTCCCAGCAATCATATGAATGAAAAGACATCAGAGGAATTTAGCTTCTGCTAGAGACAGAGAGTGAGTCCTGAGGCTACAACACCAGAATGCCTGCAGTTCACTGTGTTTCCAGCGACGTGCCAGCTCCCCTTCCAGGGCTCACACATTACAGAATAAGACAGGTCATCAGTGAATTAAACCATCTGCCCAGACACCCCTCCCCTGCTCACCAGGCCATAAGTGGCTGCATAATCTTGAGATAAAGATTATAAAGTTTATAAAACCCTTTAAAAATAAAAAACTCACAAGCTGCTCTGCAAGTTCGTAATCTAAGTCCAGCAAGTTGAGCCGCAGGGGCCTGTCATACATGAATCCCCGCCCAAATTCCAGCTGTGACAGCAGCTCCAGGTTGGCTACACGTTCAAGACCCACCAGGATCAAGGCCTGGACACCTATGAGGAAAGACACATTTAATTCCACTTATCTAGGGGTTGAGAGCTATGGCATCAGGTTTTCCTGACTTCGGTTTATCCTTTTGTTTTATTTTGTTGGGGTTTTCCTGTTGGTGGTGGTGGGGATTGAACCCAGGTCTTCACGATCACTAAGCATGTGCTCATGTAGCATGAGCTGCACCCCAGCCCTTCTTGACTTTTTTTTTTTTTTAAGGAAAACTTCAGCACAAAATTTGGCTTTAATCAAAGCATGTTTAATCAAACTAATTAGCTTCGCTGAACCTTTGACTCCTGTGAGTGATTGTTTCCCTTGTGTCACAAACTAAATGTATTATTGTGCACATAGGAAGTGACATACACGAAGAGAATCAGCCGTATGTCTTTAAACTCTGGCCGTACCTAACAGGGTCGGGCTGTGGAAAAGCTGACATATTAGCACCTCCAAAAGCAGGTAACATCAGCCAGGGAGGGGAGCATTGCTTGGGAAAGAAACTAATAAAGAGAGCATTCTTATGATTGGCTATGCTTTCACAGATTTCACAGATTCTTCTTGACATCCAAAGCACATCTGACAACAGGCGTGCTGTTTCCCCAGTCACCTTACATTTGGTAAGTACACTAAGTTCATTTATTTCATATTATTATTTTCATGTATGTTCATTTAAATGCTGCAGTGTTTGAGCTGTGGTAACTGTCAGCTGAAAATGTGGTTATTCTTTTGCCTAATACATTAAATTCCTAGCGTGTGGGGTGAAGTAAAATAAAAACAGTGCTTCTGTTCTTTTGCAAAACCATCATGCATTCTGCATTCTACCAGCTAAATGGGTCTCTGAACCTGCATGTCTGTGGCAGTACATGGTAATAAAACTCTTTGTGATTCAAAAGGCATCTTTGTAAGCGTTATCGCCCAGCCCCAAGAAGGCAATGAAAGGCCAAGATGATGGGAAGAGTCCTCCAACAGCCGAGCCCACCCAGAGAGCTTGGGGTCAGCAGAGTAGCAGCCCCACCTCACAGGGGATTACTGCTCATGATTAGGAAGCTTGGAATCTACCTTCTTGTCGGAGCTCCTCAGAAGCTCTGTGTAAGTCAGCCAGGTCTCCATCCACTCCATCGGTAAAATGAATGACCACCTGCGAGCAAAAGAGGAGTCAAAACCCACCCCAACAGAAGAGAAACATCACAGACCATGGAGCCAAAACCCTATGTTACAGATGAGAAAAGCAAAGGCCAAGGTTGAGCATATTGTGCAATAAACAAAGTGTAAAATAAAGAGTGTGTTTTAGTGTTTGGTTTGTTTAAAAAAACACAAGCACTAATGACCAAAAAAGCCATTTATGTCATTCTCCTATTTATAAGGCATGGTTTCTGCAAACTACTGTGCACCTGTGCTGCATGTGGCTAAGGCTACTCTGGGTTGAACTGTGTTCCTCAAAAGCCAGATGCTGAAGTTAAGGCTCTCAGTTCTTCAGAATATGACTGTGAGTGGAGCTGGAACTTCAAGTCAAAGAAGGCCATCGGGTGGTCCCTAATCCCGTGTGACTGGCGTCCTATAAAAATTGGAGATTAGGCAGCCAACAGTCACAGAGGAAAGACCCTGTGGTGACCCTGGGGTGGCGGGAGGGAGAAGCTGTCATTTTCAAGCCAAGGAGGGAAGCCTTGCCCTCCTTATGGTTATTCCTATAACCATTTAAGAATTAATCTTAAAGTCAGTTCTTTCAAGCTTAACTAATTGCCAGGACTCCCAGGCTAGCAGGGTGAGGAAGACAGCACATGAAGGTACGGTTGTTTAGGAAGTGAGGGACTCTAGCACGGCACATGTGGCCCAGGCCCGTGTGCACGGTGCGTAAACGGTGCGTAAACGGTGCGTAAATGGTGCGTAAATGGGCATGACTCCAGCGGCTCCTGGGAAAGGCTCCAGGCCACTCACCTTCACGTTTTCGGGTGAGGCCTGCCGGAACTTGTTCTGATAGACCTTCAGCGTGTCGGCCGTAAGGATGTACGGGTGCTGATTCTGCATGTTCTGGAACTTCTCAAACAGCTCCGGCTGGTACTCAGCAAAGTCAAAGGCCTCCACCGGGCCTGAGGGTGTGTTGGCCACCACCGACACCCGAACGACGGGCAGCTGGCTGCCACTGCAGCTGATTCTCTGCATCTGGCTGATTCTGTTCAAGATGGTGTCCACCTTGGACTCGAGGCCCTTCTGGGCCACAAATACATTCTGATCTCTGGATCCATCGAACCCCAGAATCACATCCAGGTTACAGGCTAGAAAGGAGAAATGCAGGCCATGAATTCTAAGTTGAGGCTGCTGAGAAGAATTCAACTTAAACCAGAGACAGGCACAGACAGCCCAACACTTGGACCGTGACACTCTCTCTGCCCCATAGCGAACGGAGATCATCTGTGTATGAGCTCTGAGAGCGGCAGGTTAGGTCTGCTTCTCTCACAGGGGAAAATGGCGGTGGGCGGGGAAGGTCTGAGAAGCCAAACTTGTGGCTCATTTTAATATACATTTGCTCTTTGGCAGGTGTTCATCGAACTGGACACCATAATGTACACTTGGTATTTAAATATATCCCAAATACATTTGTCCTCTAAATTAAAAGCACTTTAGAACACAAAACACTCATATCTCAAGTATTTAGTCCAATAAATGTATAATTGAAAACATGGATGAATAAATCTGAATTATTTGGGGTATAAAGTAATAGGAGAAAAAATGAGCTTATAAGGGCAAAAAGATAGACTTTTCCTGGAGGCACATCCTGCAGCCACGGTCAGGTGAGCACCAGGGCCAGCCCACGTGGATGTAAGGGCACTTCCAAAGCAACCAAAGGCCTAAGGAACTCACAAGCCGACGCTTTCCACAGGAAAGGACTGAGATGTGTACATAGGGGGTTACCTTTGGAAACATCGGTCACACCAGGACATAGGGTTTCGTGCATAGCGTCATGTAGTGTTTCCAAAACTTGCTCGCTCAGTTCTGACAGCTCCTGGACGTTCCCTACCCGGAATGCTGTGGCACTGTTGGATGCCATCTTTCCGACCTCTTCTGAGTCAATGTTCCTCACACCCACCGCGAACACCTTGACACCTCTCTGAGTGAGTGCCAGGCTCGCATCCTGGGCATCCTCCACTGACTTTCCTCCTGTGATCACAAAGGCAATCTGAGGAACCCTCTGATCCAGTCGGCTGCCAGCCTCAGGCACGAAGTGATTGAGCCGCAGGTGCTCCATGCCCACCCTGGTGTTGGCGTGTCGACCCCCTTTGTAGACCACTTTGTTGATGGCATCAATAATCTGCCTCTTGGTGGAGAAGTCCTTCAGGAAGAATTCATCTGTGGGGTCAGAGTTGTACTGGACCAGCCCCACTTGGATGGAGTCACCCTCTTCATAAACTGTGTCCACAATTTCAGACGCAAAACGGAGCACTTCCTGGAAGCTGTCCCTTCTGAAATTGATGGACCCATCCAACAGGAACACAATATCTGCCTTCTTCTTCTCTACAAGAGGTGGCAATGAAAATGAGGAGGGGTTAGGTTTCTATGTCCAGAATGTAAAGAGACAAAATGTGAATCAAAATAACTGAAATAGACATTTCGAATAATCCATTCACAATGAAAACCCATGCTCTATCCCACACCTCTCTGGTTCTAGCCCCAGAACACTATGCTAAAATCAAGACGCCGAATGAGAAATCATCTAAACAAGAAGGAAAGGAGACACAAGAACTCAGTGGGCCAGAGTTCCAGCTCTTCATGAAACATGGTAGGGTGCCAGGAATTGGAGGGGACCTGCGCTGGATGGTCTGTGAACTTGGATGCCTTAGGAAATACCACTAAACCATTTTTCTAGTAAGAAATAAGTGACAGTGCCTGCCAGTGGTAGGAAGAGAGGCCTTGGGCACAGCAAGGAGGCACTGTAAGAGATGGACTGGAAAAACGGAAAGGTAACCCCATGAGTCTTTGGAAGAGTGCCTGAGAGCTTCATGGGGCTCATGAACCTCAGTCATGTAAGGGTAATTTCCTGTTCCTACCAACCAGTCAAGACTGCACTGAAGAGGAGGGAAAGTTGGGAGTCAGTGCCACAGTCAGCCCAGAGAAAAGCAGTCAAAGAGTGAAATAGTAATTCATATTCCTGGGGAAAACCAACCCTACTCATGCACCCTGGATGCCTGAATGGGCATCATCCAGAGGAGGAGCAGGGAAATGTGTGGGTGGTGAGGGACGCAATCTGCCCTTGGCAGCCCCACAGGTAAGAACCAGGAGCATGGGGAAGAAGCTGTAAATGGACGGTCCCGATGGCCATGTCCGTCGAAGGATGGAGGTGTGCCTAGACCATGGTGGACATCCTGCCTGTGGGAACAGCCTGAAGTCAAAGCCATGTCCAGTGGGGCATAGACTGGCTGAGTCAAGATACCATCCTGTTTTGAGATCTGATGACGGTGATACGTTCTGCCCTTACAGAAGCTTTCAAAAGAGCTATAATGAACCTCAGGAATGACAGAGCGATACCATGCGCTCTAGGGATATGTTTCCCCTCCACAGTTTCAACTGAACTAGTTTTCCCGTATTTAATTTCTGCAGAAACAACCCTGAAAGAAGAAAACTGTTGGAAAAAAAGCTAGTTATGTCTTAATTTCAAGATCTCGATATACCACTCCATAGTCATGGGTCATACAGCTCATACCTGGCCTTGAAGGAGAAGGTGTGTCCACTCCTAGAGGTGCAGGTGTAGCCCCAGAGGGTCCAAATGAGCTCATGACCCTGTCTTCTATGTTGGGCAACTCTGTGAACTCTCTCACGGGGAAGACCAAGCTGGGGTTGTTAGTGATGGTCTGCAGCTCCACCCTGTCAGTGTTTCTGTCTCCTATTCCCAAACTCGCAATCCTAGAAGAGCTTAGGACCTGAGAGATCCTGGAAATGTCATCCTGGGATTTTCCACCCAGAAACAGTACGAGGTGTTGGGGCACCCCATCTTCTATCCGACTCCCAGCAGACTTCACAAAGAGGTTTCTTGCCACAAACTCCAGAGCTTTTCCAGTGTTCCGTGGAGAACCTCCCTTGAACCTCAAGCGCCGTATGGCGTCGAGCACCGAGGCCTGGGATTTGTAGGTCTTCAAATAGAATTCTGGGAAGGCCTCATTGCTGAACTGTACAACGCCAGTCCTCACTCTGTTGGGGCCAATGTTGAGTCTTTGGACGATCCTGCTAACAAAGTCTCTGATATGAGCGATGCCATCGGGCCTAATGCCGTCAGAGCTGTCGATTAGAAAGACGATGTCAGCAGCGTCACTCTCGACAGCTGCAGGAAAAAGAGAAAGAGGAGCACTCAACAGGTGCCAGCTTTGTCTGGTTTTCTTCCCGTTACCGTCTGAAATCTGCCTTGTGTGGCACCATAATGTCAACCAACATTAAAATCATATCCTCACTCACTTGTTTTTGTCTTTTGGACTTTTTGAACTTAGTCATTAAAAATTAGGCCTTTTTCAGAAACCAAAACAATTTCCACCTCTTGAAACATTTTAAGTTCTTCAAAACTGTCTCTTTCTGAATTGACTCTTTTAATTTTGGCTTTCTTGGTTAGGTTACAACTGCTTTAAAAAAATGTCAGCAGCATTTAGAAACGTGTAGATTACCACAAGAATCATGACCTGTAGCCACCAGGAGGGACCACAGCTTCCCAAGCCAACATCTTTGTGGTACAAGAAGAGGGAAACAGCTGAGGTCAAATGTCCTCACCCTGTCCAGTGATGGTCCCGAGAGCCCCAGCCCCTGCATTGTGCCCCATCTCAACCCACCAAGGCTGGCTCCCTGTCATTCAATGCTATCTGCATTCATCACGCTCTCCCTGGATATTGCCTACCTTGTATTTCTTTTTGACCATGTATCTCTAGCATTCACACAAAGGTCTTGTTTTTGCTATCATTTTCCCTATCTCTTCGCATCAGATCATTGTTAACTCCAGGTTGAACATCCCTAATCCAAAATGCTACAACCTCCAAAACTTTGTGAGCACTGACATGACACCAATAGGGAGAAAATTCCACACCATGAAACTTTGTTTCTTGCACATTTTCTTTGATTGCATAAGATTAACTTCAGCTATATGCATAGATTTCAGACACATATATGTGTATAAGAAATATAAGTGAATTTCATGTTTACACTGGAGTTCCATCTCCAAGGTATCCTATCGGGTATATGCAAATATTCCAAAATCCAAATAAATCCCAAAAACTTTTGGTCCCAACCATCTTGTAAAAGAGATTCTCAACTTGAGGTCCTGGGAAAGATGAGCCACAGCTTCCTATCAGAATTCTATAAACTAAGATGCCTCCACTCAACAAATTTCAGCCTGGCTTTTGCCTCATCCATCACTGAGCGATATATAGTGGAAAGGCTACACAGTGGAAGTTGAGCCGGTCATGGACTTCTGAAAGAAAACAGCATTCCTCACACTGGGGAGCAGGCCTGGTACACTGGGCCTTGGGTCCCCTCCTGAGCACAAACCATTCCACAAAATATCAGCAAGCACCTCAGACCACAATGGGGCAAGACAGAGTGACAGCACTTTGCAACCACATCTAAGCATAGACAAAGAGCTGCATCAGGTTGGTGGGTGTTGACCGCGGAAAGGTGAAGCAGCCTCACCTTTATTGTAAATTAACTTACCGTGTGTACCATGACCTTTGAGTCTGTTGTTTTTATATCAAAACTGCAGCAGAAGCACCCCAGCCCCAAGAGCCTACCTGGGGGAGGATAGCGCGTGCTCGCCAGGATCTGCTGGATCTGTTCGGCCGTCAGGGTGGTGATGGGAGTCAGCAGTTTCTGCTCCAGGGTGGGCAGCTCCCTGAAGGTGCTCACCGAGAACACGTACTCAGGGCTCAGGGAGATCTTCACCAGCTCCTCCTGGTCTGTGTGCCTGGCTATGGCGAAAGGGGCCACCCCAAACTGCTTAAGCTCCACAGCTGAGTCATCCACCTGATCATGGGACTTCCCAGATGAGATGAGGATCAGGAACTGTGGAACACCCTCCTCTATCCGGCTGCCCAGAGGCCTCCTGAAGATATTCTTCAGCACGTATTCCAGGGCACCTCCAATGTTGATCTGCCTCCCGCCTTTGGGCCGCAGCCGCCTCACAGCGCTCAGTACTTCATCCTTGCTAGAGTGAGCATTCAGTGGAAACTCCACCTTGGGGTCCTCACTGAACTGGATCACCGCCACCCGAGTGGTGTCAAAGCCCACATCCAGGTAATCGACCATCCTCTCGATCAACAAGCGGATGTACTGGAACTCAGGGCTAGCATTTTGGGATCCATCAATGAGAAAGACCACATCCTTCTTACCACCAACACCTGCAAAGCAAGCAGGAGCATTGGCACAAGATTCCAAGAATTATTGAGTCATCTTCTAGTTTGTCGTGGGTCACCACCTAACAATAAATCCTAACACCAACTGCTGTGGTTAAAATGCCAGGCCAAGGAGCAAGTCCCATGCACTTCACCATCTATGTGTCAGAGGAAGAGGAGAAGCCAGCAATGGACATGGGGGAGGCAGAAAACAGAAGAGCTTCATCTACACCAAGTGAGGATGATGTTTCAGGTAGCAGAGGACCTCAGCTGTGGCAGATGCTGCTCGTAGACCAAATAAGATGGCACCTAAGATCCAGTCCCTAGGCTTTGGCAGATGGAGTGAACTGGACAAGAATGTGTTCCAAGCAGGGACAAGGGTGAGTGACAGGTTTGAGCAAGCTCAAAGAGAAGGAATTGTGCAGCATAGGTAAGTCTTTAAAAAGGGGCTGGTGATGCTGGAGAGAGTTTGTCAGAGAGAAGAAGCAGCAGTGCATTTTTATCGTGAGCAGAATCATCGAGTACCGTGGAGAACAGGTGGAGCAGGAAGGAGAATTGCAGACAATGTGCAGGTGTGAGGAAAGAAATGAAGCAGGCAGGGACAGGCCCTCCAAGAAACAGAATGGAGATGAGGCGTGGCCCCTGGGAAGAGCCCGGGAAGGGGCAAGTGAACTTCCAGAGATTTTCTTTGGTTTAATTGCATTTTCTCCTCCAAATGGGATTCAGGATCACCAGCTGAGAGAGGACAAGTGTGAAAGAAGCAGAATGGGAAGAAGGAAGAGGGTAGAGAGTGGCCATTCTGAAGCATGGAGAAGTGAATGGACCGGGAGGCAAATCACTGTAGAAGTATGTTTGGTTTTGCAGTGAAGATGCAGTGACCCACAAGGATGATATTTCTACAGGTGCTTGATGGCAACACTGCGAGCTCAAGATGCAGCATCGTCGAGATGGCTGTGGTCAGATAAGGTTTGAAATGCTGCCTTCCCTCTTGTCAGAGATACACAAAGCACATCAATGAGAGAGAGAAAAAGAGAGTGAGAAAACTCTTTCACTTTGTTTTCCCCACTGTTCCCAAATTTATCTGATGGTGAATGCCACAGAACATTCCATGGAAGTACTCCCTCCCTCACAACCATACAACATAGCATCCTGCCTCTAACTTTCTTTCACTTTCTCAATCTTTCCTCCATTACTTCCCTCTCCATGCCATAAGGCCACAAGGAGACTCCCTCGGGACTGTGTCTGCCCTGTCCTGGGTGGGTATTCACTGAGGGTGGATGTGTTTTAGCCCTCTTGCTTCCCAGTCACCAAGACTCCCCCAGCTTACTGTATCAGACCTGGGAAGGGAAAACAGAATAAACCTTGCTTATACAAGCCAGGTGGCCTTCCTGATGGCTGATGGCTGCTGCTCAGACTTCCAAGGACACTTGGAATTTGACCAGCAGACACCCTCCCTTCAAACAGACTCCTACACCAAGGTTTTAAGGCATCTGAATCTAAGCCAAGTAGATGACCTCCTGGGAGAAAAAAACACAAATCTTAGCCTCTCCAAAAAAAAAGGCACATGGCTCCTAATTTTTCCTGTAGCTCTATCTATCACTCTAATGGCAGAGGAAGCAAGATTGAAAATGCTTTGAAGTCCATGGGCTAAACATATGTGTTTATGTTTAATCACATATGAGGGACATATCACTCAGGGGATCATAAGGAACAAGGACCCAAAGACTTGATTGATCCCTCACCTGGGCTTGATGGGGGCAGAAAAATTGGCTTCAACCTGCTCAGTTCCTCACGGCTGAGGTGGGTCACCCGCTCAGAGATGACCTGCTGGACAGTCCCCAGCTCATGGAAGGTGGGGATGGCCACGGCAAAGTCTGGGATGAAGGAAATGGTCTGCATCTCTGAGATGTCGGCATTCCCAATACCGATGCCTATGGGCACTGCCCCACCCCTCTTCAGGATCACAGAAGGGCCCCTCACGTCATCCCCAGACCGCTCAGCCGTGAGCACGATCAGGAGCTGGGGGACGCCCTCTGCCATCCTGCTTCCAGTAGAGCTGGTCAAGATGTTCCTTAGGACAAAGTCCAGGGCAGCCCCCGTGTTGGGGATCGGTCCCCCCAGGAAGGTCAGCTTCCGGATGGCATTGATGACACCCTGCTGGTCCATGTGGGAATTCAGGTAGAACTCAGGCCTGGTCCGGTCACTATACTGCACCACAGCTACACGGACACGGTCGGGGCTCACATCCAAGCTCTCCACCACTCTCTGCATAAAGTCTTTCAGCAGGGGGAAGCCGCTCCTGACACCCTCAGAGCCATCGATCAGAAACACCACATCTTTTTCACCTGAAACTGGAAGAGACACCTGATTACTCTCATGGATTCTGAGAGTGGACTGTTGTATGTTGTTGTGACCCCCAGGGAGGCCTACCTCCCAATCCCTGAACTCATGAAAAGGACTTTGCAAGTACAATTAAGTAAAGGATTTAAGAGGTGGGATTATCCAGATGGACCCACCATCATTACATCAATCTCAGGTGTCCTTACCAGAGGGAGTCAAGAGGGTCAGAGCTAGAGAGAGTAGGGAGCACAGTTCAGAGAGAAGGGAAGGCTCCACACTGCTAGTTTCAAGATTGGAAGATGTGGCCATGGGCCAGGGAACTTAGGTGGCCTCTAAAACCTGGAGATGCTGAGGTGATGGTCAATCTTCTAGGACATCTAGAAGGAACTCAAACCTGCCGACACATAATCGTGAGCTCAAGGAGGCTGCTTCCTATTCCTAACCTCCAAAACTGTCAGGAAAAAATCCATTCAATTGCCAGCTGCTAAATATAGCTATGGCAGCCGAGGGAACAGAATGCACCAAGATTTAGAACTTGCCCACACTTGAACACAACTGTTAACTTTCAAAGGTGAACTCGAGAAAAAACTTGGTGCAGGGGAGGAACATCGGATGGCAGAGCAAGGGCATTTCCTGGTCAGGGAGGTCCAACTGGTTGCTGGCAGTCAGAAGTAGATCAATGGGAGAAACATAAGCAGAAGTCGGGTGACCACTCCAAACAAGCCTCAAATGGGACCCAGTCCTCAGTGGATGCTCTAGTTTTTAATCAAAAGGAGAATATGGGAAAGTAATTACTCTTTTTTGCTGCATTTTTACCACCAAATAAAAAGTGATTAAACACAAAATAATGGAAGTGTAATTGAACGGGAATTGATCTGGCTCCTCTAGTGCCTTTAATTCTTAATGAATGTAGTGAAGGAATTATAACAATGAGAGCCCTTAAAATAAAGGCACTGTTTCAGCTATAACATACCCACACTATATGGTTTTTTTATGCATATTAAAATTTTTATTATACTATTGATATCTAAATCCTTATAATGTATCTTATTATAAAATTTTCTAATCCTCTTAAAAATAATCACCCAGGTTTTCCTGTTTTACCCAAGATAACAGCTAGAAAATCAAAGCAAAGAATGAAAAATCACCCGGGCACAATTGGCTCACGCCTGTAATCCTAGCAACTCAGGTGGCAGACATCAGCAGTATCGAGGTTCAAAGCCAGCCTGGGCAAATAGTTCTCAAGACCCTATCTCGAAAAACACCCATCACAAAAAGGGGTGGAGAGACTGGTGTCAAGATGTAGGCCCTGAGTTCAAGCCCCAGTACCACAAAGAAAAAAGAAAGAAAAGTCATACTCTTTGTTCCATTGAAACCACCTGTTACTTCTCCATTTCCCTGGGAGCCCCTGTATCTGAGGACCCAGAGCCAGCAGTCTAAGCCCAATTCAGGCACTGGGGAATTGGGCTGCAGGAATGACCCCCATTGATGCACCATACCTGGGGCTGGGGCTCCATTGCTCACTGATTTCAAGAGGTTCACAATCTGTGGCTGGAGATCCCCAATCTTGGGGAGCGACTCTGCAGTCAGGATGAAAGCAGGGGACGGTACAATCTGGTCCAGCTCAGCAGGGTCAGCGTTCTTGGCTTGGAAAATGAAAGGCACCACCCCACTCTGTTTCAGGGTACTTGCTGGTCCGTCCACAGCATCAGATGACCTTCCGGCAACCAGCAGTACCAGGAACTGAAGCACTCCGTCCTCGAGGCGGCTGCCCGCAGACTTCACAAAGATGTACTTCTGTGCGTAGTCCAGGGCATAGCCGAGGTTAAGGGCTTTGCCCGTCTTGATCTTCATCTTCTTCACAAGACTCAGAATCTCAGCCTTACTTGGATGCTCGTTGAAGCGGGACTCTACCTTAACGTCATCACTGTACTGAGCTACTGCCACCCTGGTCCCATCTGGCTTCACATTGAGCTCATCAATGATCTTGTAGAGAAAGTCACGGACAGCAGGGAATTGGCCCACAATGTTGGCTGAGCCATCAAAGAGGAACAGAATGTCTCGCTTGCTCTCTATAGGGAAAGTAGATTGGGACACAGTCAGAAAAGAGATCAGAGACAGACACCAATTGGGCTCAGCCCAGCACCAGCAGCATTTGACCATCTGAGAAGCACTGTACCAGGAGGGAAAAGAACACCCACACCTCTTGTCATGGAATGTGCTATTCAAAGCCATGCAGATTTGCAAACAAATAGAACCGGGCTCTAGGAACCATGCTTCTGTTCTCAAATTGGGTGGACTCACTCCAGGAGAACAGACAGCATTTTAACATTGCTAGTAAAAGAAAATCAAAAGTGTGATCCTTGTTGAACCTTTGCTAGAAAGTTGACCTCAGTCTCTCGTGACAGAGGCATACAGATTAACCAACCAAGGATGTCTGGGTTGGCAAGTGTCTGCTCTAATTGGATCATCTTTTCAGTAACTTTGAGTTTATGGGTTAGGACCCAAAACAGCACCTGTCGTTGCTGTGTGAACCAGCTCTCTGCTAATGCTTTCCAATCCTCTGTAACTGACCACAGAGAACAAGGCTGACAGGCCAGAGGAGACTACACCATGTCATGTAAACATCATGTCCAGTTCAAATAGTTCTTAGAACTGTTTTGACTTAAGTTTCAAGCCTTGTGTGAAGTGGGTCGATACATCCACAGCTTGGTACCATAACCAATTGCCACAATAATAATAATCCAGACTTCCTTTGGAAAGCATTGTACTTTTGTATAAAGATGCACAGCTGGCTTTTAAATACAGCAGTCTAGCCACTTCTAGAGTGGCTCACATGGTAGAGTGCCTGCCTAGCAAGCATGAGGCCCTTAGTTCAAACCCCAGTGCCCCCCCAAAAAAGTTAAAAGAGCAGTCTAAATGTAAAAATGCCACATAAAGAAAAGAAATTCAACTTTTAAATTTGACCAAGGTATGAAACAATCTCTCTCTCTCACTCCCTCTCCCAACTTCATCCTCTCCCCTTCCCCCTCCCTCCCTTCCTTTATCTTCCCCCCCACCCATCTCTACTGTACAGAAGCTGCACTGGCATGGGGGAGGGAGCTTCTTAATAAAGGAAAGATGAACAGAACAGAAGCTAGATGTTTAGATTTTCATTAATAACGCCCTTAAGAATCTAAGCTTGCTGGTACAGTGACTTAAAGCCCCACTCCAAATACTCCAGCCTCTTCCTCCAGGGAGGCATCCTAGGAGGGAGGGGACCGCGCTGGCAGGGAGGTTTACCTGGCTGGGCGAGTGGAACTTCCTGCACACCTCCACTAACATATGTGGTTAGGGGCTGAATCAGCTGCTGAGGCAAAGCCGGCAGGGAGCTGAAATCATCCATGAGATACACCAGGCTGGGGTTAAAAGCCATCTGCTCAAGCTCTGCCTTATCCGCCTGGCTGGCCCCCACACAAAAGGTCAGCACGCCCTCGCGTGCCAGGGCGTTGGCAGCTTGCAAATAGGCGTCCTCAGACCGCCCTGCGGTGAGCAGGAGCAGCAGCTGCGGCACGTTCTCACGGATCCGGCTGCCACCAGCCTCGGTGAAGTGGTTGGCGTGGACGTAGCTCAGGGCCGCGCCCGTGTTCAGGCCCGAGCCCCCCCTGAGCTGCAACCGGCTCAGGTGAGCGAGCAGCTCTGCCTTGCTCTGGTAAGTGTCTAGAGAGAACTCCGTCACCGGAGTGTCACTAAATTGCACTAAACCAATACGAATATTTTGACTTCCAACATCAAGGCTGTTAACTAGGTTCATTACAAAGTCACGCACATAAGGGAAATTGGTTTTTCCAACGTTGACCGATCCATCCAAAAGGAAGATGATATCCCTTTTGTTTACGTGAACTGCAGTGAAGCACAGAAAACACAGTGAGACATAGACAACCGCGGGGCTTTCCATGTGTGCCTGTGACACGGGCACACATGCCAACACTTAGAACACAGAGGAAGGCAGCAGGGCACAGCATGTCCACCTGGTAAAATATGGCGGCAGCTGCATATTTTCCTCTCGTGGTGACTGGTGTTTGTGAAGCAAGTGTACAAAACCAAAGTGGCTTACAGAGAGATATGTGTCAGAGTTAGAACGTTTGCAACCAACAAAATGATAGGAATCCCTGAAACAGAACATTCTTCCCCTGGAAATGAGTTCTACAAGTGTACCAGCCCTGCATCAGTCATCTCCAAGACCACCATCACAGTGGGCCTCCCTGTGCTCCACCAGGTTGGGGTCTTCAGGGGCTCAGCTGTGTGCACTTACAGGGGGCTTTCCATTGACAGCTCAGGAGCAGTGAAGCCCACATGAACCTGGGAACAGAAGTTCCTGAAGATAAGAACAGAAGGCTGTTCTCATCCTGAGTCCCCTTGGGCCTCCCACCTGTCATCCTCTACTGTCCTTCTCTCCTCCTGTTGGGGTCATGGCAGCCCTAGGCAATAATCCAGCCAGATACTCAGGGCAGTTCCTTCAAAAAGGGGACCAGATAATGGGTAGCCAGCAAAATACAAAAGGACTATTTCTGTGTATTTGGCCAAGGCTATACTCACGAAGAATAAGAGCTATAATTCTCAAATTAAATTACCATAGGCCCACTTTATCTGTGGGTTCCACATCTGTGGATCCAAGCAGCCAAGGTTCAAAAATATTTTTTAATTAGGTCTTTACTGAATAGATGCAGATTTTTTTCTTGTCATTATTCCCTAAACAATGCAGTGAATAACTACTTAGGTAGAATGTGCATTGCTTTACTCATTATAAGTGACTAGACATTATTAAAGCATGCAGGAGCATATGCAGAAGGGATAGAGACTTGAGCATCCATGGTTTTCATATTCAGAGGGGTCTTGGACCAATCCTCCTTGGATTCTGAGGGGCGACTATTATTCCCCAACACATCGATAGAATGACTTTTAAAAATACCCTTTTCCTTTTTTTCCCCCTGATGCCTCACTGTAATTAGACTAATTGTATCCTATGCTCATCAAGTTGAACTTTGGCTATAAAACAGAGGATAGGATGTTTAAAGAAAATGAAGAGAGAGGTCTTTAGAGTCTGGAGAGAAAGCAGGCATCCATGCAGCAGTCATGCAGCAAGCAGTCCTCAGCGTGAGCGCTGAGAGGCAGACAAGCATGATTCCTGTGATACTTCATCTTCTCTTCATGAAGGATAGAACTGCATGGATCCAATTCACAGGCTCGGGGCTGTGTGACGCCAGTCATTTGAAATCACACTGAATGAGGGATGTGAAGAACCCTCCGTTCAATACGCTTTCCCACTGAGGGGGGCTGACAGTTAATATCTATGGACATGACGTCCCATGTGGGCCAGCCAGGGCTGTTCAAAGTACTGTGAACTCAGCTGTGGAGGAGGCTGCTGACTAGGGAGTGACCCATAGAAACAGAAGGAAACTGGGCCCCAAAAGGCATAAGAGCTGAGACACGATCTCCTTGGCCAGAAGTCATATTGATAGGTGGCTCCATGACCCTTATTTAAGTCATACAAGTTTACTGTATGACATCTTAACTCTCCAGTTAACCCAGGGTAAAGGAACCCTTAAAAAAAATCACGTTTGTTGCTATTCTCATTGAACAGGCATCTCTCTGCTAAGCACCAATACAAATCTGCTGTGTTTTTCCTCAAAGGTTCTGCCTGCCAACCACCCATCTGCAGATCTGAGCCTGGCCACCATACCTTCAGTGGTTCCGGAGAGGGTTCTGAGAGGTGCCAGCAGGCTGGGCAGCATGCTTTGCAAAGGGACGGCGCGGAACTCAGGGGCGATGAACACCAGGGATCTGTCGAAAGCGATCTCTTCCAGCTCCGCCTCATCAGCAGCCTTGTTCCCAATGGCAAAGGCCATAATGCTGCTTGTCTTCAGCTCCTGGGCAGGCTGGCTGATCTCATCTAGGGACTTACCACCTGTGACCAGCACCAGGATCTTAGGAACCCCTTCGGCAGCCCTGTAGCCAGCTGAGCTAACGAACAGTTTGTCACGAACAAAGTCTAGTGCAGAGCCCGTGTATAGGGCTGAGCCTTCCAGGGGCTTCATCCTCCGCACAGCGCTTATGACTTCCCTTTTGCCAGGGTAGCTATTGAAATAAAACTCAGGCTTGACAGTGTCTGCGTACTGAGCCACCGACACCTGGATGAGGTCTTGTCCGATTTCCAGCCTCTGGATGACTCTGGCGATGAAGTCTCGGATGGCATTGAAGTTGGCTAGCCCCATGTTGGATGAGCCATCCATCAGGAAGACTATGTCCCTCTTGTTCACTTCGATGACTGTGGGTAGCAACATCAACAGGTGAGTGGAATGGCCTTAGCAACCTCTTTCAACAGTGACTGCACAAAGCTCCCATTTGCTCTGGGGCTTCCCCAGAATTTGTCACAACACACATATCAGCTACATTTGCATCCTTCCCTACTGGATGGCAGATTGGATCCCCTCTCACCCTGCCTATTCTTAATACGTTTAACAAAATAGTTACACAAAACAATTTCAGTCTAGTAGCCACCTGCTTACATGCCGTCACTTATGTTCTATCATAAATGTATAATTTGGCCAGAATGGAGTCATAGCTTGAATAATGAAACAACTCATGCCTGGTCAGAGAGCCCTTTCTGTCACAAACCCAATTCAGTATCACACATTGCCAAGTGCAAAAGCAGAGAGAGAATAAGCATTCAGATTCTCTTCAGTTCCAAATTCTACAAAGTCTTTTTTCAGGCAAATTTTTTTAATGATAACATAATACTTAAAAAAAGAAAGCCAACATCAAATTCAACAAGTGCCATGAGAGTTTCACTTAAGAGACCTGGGTAGGAAAGGTCCTCAGTGACATATTAAGTCCATGATGACTTAAAGAAACCACAAGGCAAAAAGCCTCAAAAGACCATTGACCATGACCTTCAGTGCAGCGATTGTCTCAGAATTTTCACAACCAGCCCACAGAGCAGGACAAGAGCTCGCCTATACTTCCGTGCCCAGTCCAGAAGCCTGCTGGGCTCTGAGACTTGTAAGAACACAACCACTTGAACCTGAAGGGGCGTTTGCAAGAGGGCCCCCTGCTCCTCCCTTGCATCAGACAGCTCAGAGGGCAAGCTGACTTTGTGATGCCTGCAGAGGAAGGTTGAAGACAAAGGCAAGGACGACCTTGAGAGTTAGTGCTGCCTCCTCTGAAGCATTTTCAAATACAGCCCATTCCTAGTCGTGGGGCTGGGGGTGGGAGCATGATGTCAGAACCACAGGTACGTGTCTTTACGAATGGTTTTAGGATCGCTGTACTTCCTCTACACGCTTTCGGCACCAGGAGGAGATCTGTGTCCTACTGCTTGAGCCACTTTGTCAGCGAGTTAGGCGTTCTAACAGAAGGGTGATGTTTGTGCACTGACATCTTTTGCACAGGTAACCAGGTACCTACTGCTATAGCAATGTACACGTGACATCGTTTAATCTTTCCTCACCATGGTCCTAGGTAAGAGCATCCATTCAAGTCTTCTTTCCTTCCTTCAGTTTAGAACTTGCTATGTCTCTGGGCTATGCCTTTGATTTTGGTTTAAAATATCTTTGCAGATAAAACTAGTGGGCTCCTCACACCTTTATACCATCAGGGATAATGCATATAGACACATATATATTCCATATATAATGTGCCATGTCTGTATCACACATGTATTTATCATGTACATCTTATGTAACAGATAAGTAGACAAACACATAATGTCCTTCCCACAAAGATCCTGGCTCTAGATTCTTACACCTGATAAATATCACACCTCTAACAGCCATGTCACTGTACACTTGAACAATGGTCCATGGGTGGGATGTGTGCACACACGTGGGATCTGGGACTGAGGGGAACATAAAGTTGGCTCTGTGGACTCTGAAATACACCTGACGGTCTCATGCGTTCTGTGGCAAGTCCACTTAGGTTAGATAAGAGTTGTGTGCCTAACGACCTGGGAACGCATAACAGTTACGACTTCTAGAATGGTGCTTAGCCAAATCAAGTAAGCACCGCCTGCAGCACATTCCCCACTCCTTGATGCTCCCCTCGTTTCTGCTCCATGGCTCCCCATGCCTTCTCACTTCTCTTCCCATGGTCTTTTTATCCCTGCCCCTTTTAGTGCCCTGTGTAAGTTATTATACTCAGGGAATGTTTTCTTTGGTCATTAATTTACATTTTTATTATATATCTTCCCATTTTACTATAACAGACCAACAACCACCTCTGTCTCCTTCACCAGCACCACATCCCCAGTGCTTGGCATGCCAGTTAATCAAGGATGTTTGTAAGAATGTTTGAATATTTATAAGTTAATCTCTAAGATTAAGCATGATGTTTATGAACAAGGAGTTCAAACTCTAGGTAGCTAAGGAAAATCTAAAATGAGGCCACCACCTGCCCACTTTTATAAAGAAACTGCACCTTCTCCTCAAACAAAAATATTTTCATCTAGTGCAACTTCTTTGGCATAAATTCAAGAGATAAGAGCCCAGAGAAGTTGTGTGATTTGCCCAAAATCAAACAGCTTCTCAACATAAGACCCAAGACCAAAAGCCTGGTTACCCACTACAACCAGAGTTAGAGAAGCCGTGAGGATGGGCTGTGTTTTACAAAATAGTTTGCTTCCAAAAGCATGCAGTGCCAGAGAGACCTCAGTAGGTTGTAAATTTTCACTTGATGGTTTCCTTAATTGCCAGGGCCACAATATGGCACCATGATGGAAAGAAGTGTAAGTAGCTTCCAGCGCCAGGCAGGTACATTTAGAGTCTATGTTGCCACTGTTCTTCACTGCTCACTTCCACCCAGAGCACTCTGCTCAAACTTCTGACCTCCCTTCCAGCTTCCAGCTCTTCTGAGGGACTGTGATCAGGTCTATGTCCCCATGGAGTGAGGAAAAGCTGGAACCCCAGGTGAGAATGAAAACCAGAGGTACCAGTTTGCCCTTTCTGAGCCAAGTGTTATCCAGAGCCTTCTCTAGAAAGTAACTCACAAATATACTTTTCTAACTAGCTCGTGGTCCTGAACTTTCTATTACTACAACTACAACAAAACCCTGGTTTTAAATCGCTTGGAGGAAGCTTGTGCTAATTCTGTTTGAATTTTGCACACTTGTAAGGAAATGCAATGAGGTTACCTTTACATTTCTGCAATCACCAGAACTAATTAGCAAAGGGCTCTTAAGTAGAGGTCAGTCCATATATGAGCCAATAAAGAAGTTTTTAATAAAGGCCTTAAAATCTTCCACTCTTAACTTCACACAATGGCATGCCCACCAAAAGGTTTTGTTTTTTGGGTTTTTATTTTTTTAATTATTTTCACTCCTTTTCCAAAGGAAAACCAATCTGGATCCCCAGTGGCTATCTGATTTACCAGTGGGTAAAGCTATCTGCTGTAATATCATTTCACAGACTCAGCACCTTTACTTATGAGGTTAGAAATAGGAGCTATGAAGATGCGTTACTCCATGTTTAGTCGTTGATTGCAGATGTCAGCCAGAGCCTCACATGAGCTCCATTCATTTCCCAGTTTTCAATGAGCCCTCGCTCTGCTGAGACACTGGAACGATGGTGAAGGCCAATGTCTTATATTCAGTGACTGACCTTGTGAGAGTGTACCCATGTACCTGGCCTTGTGAGAGTGCACCATGTACAGGCAACACCCAAAAGTGAGTTGAGTGATTCCTAGATAAGTTGGGGACCACTGTGTCCCTAATTTACTGAATGGCATCCAAGGTCATGAAATGGATACATTCTGAAAAGTGACAGGTATGTCAGCTCATCAGATGAGGAACCTGTGCATTCCTGATGCCCTCACACATTTGTATTTATTTGTGTATATTTGTTAAATATACATTTCTTATGTGACTTGGTTGCTTGTATTGGTTTTTAAGTGACTTCAGTTGACTGTGCCACCAAAGGTTTTTCATTTTAGCGTCTACCACAATCCTTGCCATTCAGAAAAATTACTCCTAAACTTGATAAGCACAAAATGTTCCATAAGTAGGTCATCCAGGTGCTCTGTTGTCCCTCACCTTCAGAAGAGTACCTCCCAATGCCCAGGACAGAGAGACTTGGATGAGACACCACAATCCTTTGCTGCTTGGGGGAAGAGACTGTCTAGGAACATGCTTTTAACACACCGACCATACCATTATCCTGGAGCAGCCTTCTCAGAATTGTACCCAGCCTCTCATTGCAATTTTTAGGATGACTGGATCACAATGATGTTTAATAATTACCCAAAGCAGCAGGTTTGAGGGCTTAGCCTGAGAGACACATTTTCTCCAGGACTCATGCTGATAGAGCACACCATTACTTGTTGATTTTTGGGTTTTCCAAACACTGTAACATTCACACACATCCCATCCAGGAGCCAGCTTGACACAGAAGGACTGGACTGTGGGTACTTACAGGTTCTCCCAAGGAATCACTCAGGTGCCCACCTTACTTCTATGAAAGCCACCACACCACACACCCCCCTCCCTGAGGGATGGCGAGAAGAGCATACGTACCTTGTGTGACAATGGTTGGCGGTTGCAAGACAATGTGCCCTTGGGCCACGCCAACAATGTACGGCAGTAATTGCTCCTGGAGGTCCCCAAAGCTACGGAATTCGGGGACAGTAAACACCAAGCTGTCATCTGTAGCTATGTGCTGAAGCTCTGCCCTGGAGGCAGCCTGGGCTCCGAGGCAGAATGAGAACACACTTGCCTGCTTCAGAGCTACCACCCCGTCCTGAATCTCATCACTGGAAGGCCCAGCACTTATGAGGACCAGCACCTGGGGAACCCCTTCCTCCACACGGCTGCCCCCTGCCCGCACAAAGTGATTCTCCACCACAAAGTCAAGGGCCAGGCCGATGTTGGCCAGTTCCCCCCCAGCAAACCCGAGGGCCTTCACTGCATTCAGAACCTGGGCCTTAGAGGGGTAGCTGTCCAAGGAGAACATGGTTCTGGGCTCCTCGCTATACTGGACCACCCCCACTCGGATCTGCTGAGTTCCAACTGAGAGTCTCTCAAGGAGATTTACAAGGAAGTCTCGAATGACAGCAAAATGGACACTTCCGGTGTTGTTTGATCCATCAATAAGGAAAATAATGTCAGCAGAGTCTTGTGCTTTAAAAGAAAGAAATGCAAAAAATGTGAAAGCGTTAGAACAAGTGATCACATGCACCATTCAGTGTTCTGGCATGTTTCTTTGGAAACCAACAAGAAACACGCAATATGGACAAACACGTTGACTAAGGGACGTGAAACTCTCTTTTTCAGTTCTGCATTCTGAGTGGATAAGAGGCAACTTTTTAGAAACCATGGAGTGAAATGTGGGCAATTCCTATCCAGTTTTCATCTGTGCCATCTTTGTAGTTCAGTTTCAAAACATCCTGTTCACTATTCCAAGGGAGAAATCTTGGGCACATCATCTAGAAGTTTCTACAAAATTTGAAGAGCTACGTTCTGCATGGATTTGTGCATGACCACACCACAGGAGAAGATAAACATGCAGATTTGCAAAACCCCAAAAGTTATTTCTAACTGGGGGCATTACTCCTGCCTCCTCACGTGATTGTAAGAATTTTGTGCAAATCCACAGCTTACAAAACAGAACCCCAGGATCACAGCTTGGTGACTCCTCACTGAAGAATGTTACTTGATTCCTTGTATAACTGTTGTTTCTTCATTTTTTCCCCTTAAAAACCAAAATGGCAGAGCACATGCAACTTTGTGAGTTGGAACTCAAACTGCATTTAAAGTTTTAATTTTAAAAATACGTTCATGAATTTTTGGTTCAATTTTGCTTTCACACATGTCATTGAATTATGTGAACTCAAATGCAAGTCCAGAATCAGACAGGATGTTTCATTCACTTATTTTTGCCATTGCCTCTATATTCAGTCATGCAATGCAGAACACTGTTAAGCAGAGTGATGTGAAACCAGTCATGACACAATTATCCAACCTTATTTTTATGACATCCTAACTGGGTTAATCTAGCAGGACTGGGAGCATCTGATAGCTCCTTTGTCAGAATTAGCTGTGCAGTCATACAGAGGATGTAAGAATGGCTGGCCAAGACTTCTTTTTCTCCCCTGGATTGTGTACTTGAACCTTCCATTCTGATACTGTAAATGGGGGTTACACAGATGCACTGGATGAAGAGTAGCAATTAGTACACCTGTAAACCAGGACCTTGTATTTCAAAGGCTCAGTTAGAACATTTAAATCAGAATGCGGTGAACCATGAGAATTATTCTAATTAATGTTTTGAATAACTTAAGTGTGTGTGCTAGAGATTTTATATGGGCATACATCTTCATATTCTGGGATTTCAGAAAGTTATGTTTCAGCAAAATTGTAATATTTGTATGCATGCCCATTTGTTCTGATCTTTTTCATTCCAGTGAATGTTTTTATTTAATATTGTTTTTATTCTCACTGTGGAAAAGGATACAAATCTTGTCTCATAAAATTGACAAGCTTTGCTCTGGAGAAATGATGCTGTTGTGTAAGCTGGGGTGTGGCCGTGCCAGCCTTGGAAGTGCTCTTTCTTTCCTGAACACATGAAAGCTCTGATGCCATCTTTGCAGATTAATTCTATACGTAGGGAAAGGAAGTAACTTGGAAATATTGGTATCACAATCCTTCTTGTGAGGTGTAATGAGAAGGATAATTGTTTTGCTACAGTAATTAAGGTCTTATGGGGTTTATTTAATTGTCACACAAAGGTATCAAATAAGACTGGGCCTTTGCTTTGAACTTCATGGTATTTGCCACTCTTGAGCCAAAAGGTAAGATTCCTCAAGGATCTGGGAGAGTGCAAAGCCCTGGAGTGTGAATTGCATAGCAAGCCATGGAAATGGCTCACATCGCTGCGGGAGACACATCACAAAATCCTTCAATGTTTCTAGGCCTAACCCAGTGACCCCAAGGGACATAAAAGGATCTGCCACTCCTTAGCACATTGGAGAAGGAGAACTTCTGAGCAATATGGCCAATAAAAAAATGATACTGATACCATAGCACAACACTTCCTTCTTCATTCATTACTTACTTCTTGCAATTTTTGCAAGTGTGAATAAGACAAATGAACTCTGAGAGGAAATTCCTAAGATTCCAAGTGTCTACAGCAACATGTCATGAAAACCGTTGGATAATTTGCCATCACTGATAAAAACATGGTGGTCTACACACACTAATGGGACACATAGAGCATGCTTGGTTATCCGGGAGAGCTGAAGCCTCGCAGGGCTCAGGAGCCTCAGGTTCTTGCGTGTAGTAAGGCACACAAATGACCAACACTAATTCCAGGAGAAATCAGGTTTATCTGAAATTGTAAATTTTTGAAGATGTCTGGTTTTCTGCTTTTACGATTCATTCATCACACCATCTGTGGCTCTTTTATGGAAAAGTTTCTCCTGTCCAAGGGAAAATCATGGGCTCCTTCAGCAGCTCTGGAAACCCTATTTTCCTGAGCACATGGTGTGGGCACCGTGCCTTCCTAGGTCACATGTACTTCCCTTGGTTAAGAAAAAAATGCTATTCTCATATCCTATGCAAAGCATACAAATGTGTCTACATTCACACATTTTTTATATCCTTGTTATAACCTTGAGTTTTCATTTTAGAATAAAGGCCTTCTGTCTCTGTTGTGTCCAGTTTAAAAATAGTGACAAAAGAAGTTTTAAAACACAACCATTAAAGATCGATTGCCTGAGAAGAGTTTATTTAGAGCAGTGGTGACCATTAATGCTTTGTGTATAAAATGTTCTTTTATGGGAACAGGTAGAAAGGGGTCTATCCTACCAGCAGTGTTTATAAAGCTCTTTGACATGCCTTTTGCAAAAGCTGTAAGCAGAGATGAACTACTTTGATTTTGTCTCTTTCATTTCGTCTTATTTTATTTTTCTGTGGAACATGCAGCGGACCTGATACCAGAGGAATCGCGGAGCGCAGTTAATTAGAAAAGATGACAGAAACAGATTGACATTCCACCCTGCTGCTGCTAGTGGCTTGGGTACTAGAAGACAGAGATGCTTTCTTGGCATAAAAACAAAGGTTTTTCTCATCGGTATGGGAACACAGCAAGTCATGGACTCACTTAGCATCTGCTGTGGCAGCTCTGTTTTGTCCATTTATGCAATGGTTGCATGAGGCAAACTCGTTTATTATTTTTTGTGAGTTTGCCATGTCATCGGTTTTTCAAGTACACTTTCTCTACCCATCCCTTCACTGTTTCTGACTTCTTTGTTGTTTCCCCTGTAAGCTGAAAGGTGATGGATTGGGGAACTATTGAGGCTGAGACTACTGTGGCAAACTGATGCCCTCCTGTCATCTCCTTGGAACCTGGAGTATGTGATCTGGGACAATCCTGGGGACACCTGTTTTCTTTTCCTATAGCTTAGCAGCACAGACATTTGTGTCACAATGCCAGAGGTGAGGCCCATCAGGAAGAAGCAGGGAACCCTTCCCAGTGTTAAGCATAAGTCATCCAGCCTGTCTCTCCCCTTCCCACTGAGCAGTAGACCCACTGGTGAGAGCAGTAGCTCCCACCCCTTCAAAGCCAAAATCACGGGGAACCATCAAGGAACCTTTAGGAAGCACCTTGGGGTAGGTTGGCTCCAAACCCTTTCTCTACCTGACCATGACAGCTGGCTCCTTTCCGCTGACGTCTATTGTCACTCTCCCTAAACCCTGCTTTCCAAACCTCTGCTATGAAAAACTATGTCTAGTACTGGTCCCCTACAACTGAATTGTTCTGATCACAGTCCAGAAGGCTCTGCCTTCCTCCAGCCTTCTCTGCTCCATCTACCTTCCTTAGGTGCCCCCATTTTGGCCTTACAGACTGTGTGACTGACGCCTCAAAGCCTCAGCTCACTCTTCTTCCACTCCCTCCACCACCCTGATTAACAAGAGACTGACTTTCTGCCAGTCATTTTGACTTCTGTGACCCTCTAGAGACTTGTATGCCCATGGGATGATCCTGCTCGGCACCAGCCTTCAGCTCTTTGGCCTCCTCCCCCTCCCAGAGGCACGTGTGCTTATGTGCAAGCATCACCTGAAACCCACCCATCCCAATCCTCCCCAAAAGTCACCCTCTCAACCCACTGGTAGTGTCCCCCTAAGACACTGCCTCAAGGGACCCCCCTCCTCCTGGCATCTCTCCTCTGATTCTCAGAAGTCTCCACTTCAAATTCCACTCCAGCTCTTGTTTGCTTCCCCTCCAAGTCAGGGTTCCACTGCAGGCTACTGCAGGAGTTTCCCAGCCTCCCCTCTGCACTTCGTTCATCAGAAACTGTCCTTCTTTCCTCTCTGTCATTCTCTGGTTTTGATCCAAATCTGAAAAGTCCTTTAATTCTAGAAGTGCCTGAAATGTCTGCAGAAAGGAGGCATCCACACTGATCAAGATGACCAGTCTCTTAAAACAAGTGGACATCACTGCCAGTCAGCAGTTGCTTCTGGAGCATTGGGTGACTCCTGTCACAACCCTGGAGCAGTTATCCCAAACAGCTCCGACCCTTCTAGTCTCCTGTGCCCAATGCTTTCCTTCTCTGCCATCTTTAGTGTGGTGACCCACACCAACTTCACTGCACAGCCTCAACTTCCTTCCTATCCAACACAGAATCTTGGGGACACAGCCCCTCCTTCTCTTCCTTTCCACCATCTCAGAGGTCATGTGTCTCTCTCCTGCCTTATTCCTCCCTAGCTCCCTGCCCTTTCTACTTAGAATTCCCACTTCTCCTCAAATGACTGCATGGACTAGTGCTCTAACACAGGGTGTCCCTCTGCTCTGCCCCCACCACTGATGAAGAAGCTAGCCCTGGAACTCACTGGCATGGCTGTGATGTGGTTCAGTTTGAAATCTGACTTGTCAAGTCCACTTCTGGTCACTTCATTAGGCATTCAGCATGGCTGGTTAAGCAAGTTGCTAGCCAATGAGCTCTGCCCAGGTCACTGTACACTAGCACAGAAAGATAATGTCCATGTAATCAACACTTCCAGGCTCGCCCTGATGAGGGCCACAAGGATCCAAAGAGTCTCTGTAGGCAGAGTCAAGGTGACACATGAAGGATCCCAGCAGTCCAGGTCAGAGCCAGAGCTCCTGTCCTCCAGCTCTGGCATCTTCACCAACTACATGTCACCCTCAACCTTTTGGACTCAAATTTCTTCCAACCCATTTGGACCGAATCACAGCTGATGCTCCTTACTCTGATTCTATCAACTCTGAAATAAGTTGTACAGAGCAGAATAGAGGAGCACAAAAGGGAAACCCTTTTTTCCCTCTCAGTTCACGCACTTCCTGATATGGAACTGTCCCAGAAGAATGCAGGCTCATCTGCTCCAAGGGTGGACAAAAGGGCTTCATTAGATACCCACCTAGTCAGAACACCTCTTCTGGGACCATAACAGATTGTGATTTCACTGAGTTAAAATATCAGCTGTTTCAAAACTGAAGGCCTCCTGGTGGGGAAGGCTGTTTGAGAAGGCGACTTGGGAAGAACAGTCAAACCTTTGTTTTTAAGCCTGAGAACATTCATCTCTTCCCTAAGTCCCCGCCATACCTAGGCTAGCATTGGCAAGCTCATCTCCACAGAACAGCAGGGCAGGGAGCAGCCTGGTGATGCAGTCATTACCTGTGATGTCTTTAATGGTTTCCGTGTCCCCAGCCCTCTCTGGCCTCACGGAGGAGTGCACACAGGACACTAAGTTTCCTACTATGTCATGAAGTGAGGTAAAGTTCTCTATGTTGAAAACATGCATATTGAATGGTTCACTTGCTATTTCTTTTAACGATCCTTCATCTGCATCCTCAACTCCAATTGCAAACACGTTAACGTCAGCAGACTGAAGTTGTGCAGAGGGCAGAGCCAGGCCGTCCCCCGAGCGTCCGCCGGTTAACACTACAATAACCTGAGGGACTCCGTCACTGACCCGGCTTCCAGCAGCCTTAGTGAGGTGGCTCTGAATTACGTATTCTAATCCTTTTCCAGTCTGATTGCTTCCCCCAATATAGGACATGTTGGAAACATGGGAAAGGACTTCTTGTGTAGTGTGGTACGTATGTAACAGGAACTCGGTATGTGGGTTTCCGTTGAACTGGACCAGAGCAAAATGGAAATCATTTTCTCCCACAGCTAAAGATTCTATAACATCATACAGAAACTCTCGAACAAGTTGGAAATGTTCCTTTCCAATGCTCCAAGAGGCATCCACTAGAAATATTATATCAGCAGCGGCACCATTTTTGACATCTTTAAAAAAAGACATTGGTTTAGATTTTTCTACTGTTCAAGCAGTGACTTCCTATCATTGCAAAATCTTCCTAACAAGTTCAGTTGACACTCTGCTAAATAACTCACACCTCACTCCAATGCAGTCAGGAAGGCGGACTTACCTGACGAGGAGTCCCCAGGCATGAGGACTCATCAGCTGCAGGGCCCAGCCCTTACCCAATTCCACACTGAGTGACCACCAATGGGAGAAAGTTTTCTGGGTGTCTTTGAACTCAACGTGATTCTCTGTGGCAGTTTCATCCCCAAAACCCACCTGACCAGGCCAAAGGGATCTCTTATCACAGTTAAAAAGCCATCATTCTATAAACTCATTCTTCATTTTGGGCTGTGAAAGTGGGCTTTGACAAGAAGGAAACCTGACAATTTCTGTTTGACATGAACTTGACATCAATGCTTTAGGTCATTTGCAAGACATCAATGAAGAAGACCTGTGTCAATTTGGAGAATTTTTTTCTCAGATTATTTAGCATGATCAAAGGATCTCTAATTAGTTACTGCATATTTTGCAGGGCCAGGAAAGCCCTCATAGATGCTGGATAGCATTGGTCTTGTTCACAGATGAGTCCTGCTCTTCCCCAACTGTCCCCAAGAAACCCTTCAGCTGCTATGGCCAGGCTGGCTCCTAGACTCTACTTACCTCAGGCTGACTGGAGCCCCAACCCACATTCCTCTTGCACTGAGGAGTGCTAGCCTCCCCTCCATCTAGGGTGACCTGACCTACGGGGAGACCTGCCAAAGGCCCAGCTCTCCAGGCAAAGGAGTGAGAGACCCAGGTCCCTTCCTCACCACCTGTGATGCTTTTCTCACTTTTCTAAAACTGAGAGTGAATCCTTAAAAGAATTATTGAGGTCAATTTTTAAATATTTGAGAAAACAGATTTTTTTCCAAGGATCCAATAATTCTGGAAAGTGTCTTTCTGTGTACAGAGTTATAGAGAGAAGGTGACCTTTGTTTTGTCTTGTTTTTCAGGGAAAAGCATTTTTACTCAGTAGGTGTCTTCCACTCAGACCAGTGCCACAAATCTTGAAAAGCCCCTCAGATTGTGAACCTTCTGAGATGGGAACTTTCTGCTTACACCCAACATAAAAACAGGCCCCTTTGAAGCCAGCTCCCAGATACCAAAGTCAAGTTTTAGCAAGCATAAGTCATCGCTCACTAAATAAGGAGCATCTGAAAAGGTCCATGAAGTCAATCTATTTCCTCTAACAGGTGACTGAGCTGTGTCTCAACACATCTAGGCTCTATGTTAAGTTCATAATGTCTAAGATCTAGAAACAAAACTAGATTTTACAAAACTAGTTTTACAAAGATGAGGATGTTTCTGGACCTTACCTGCTTGTTGTTGTTGGGCATAAGTCGTGGGAAAGCCTGAGAGAAAGAGGCAAAAGATGACCACTAAGGGCAAATGTCGATGTTTCCTCATTTTGAATTTGTCTAAGCACCAAGTGTGAACCTAAAAGAAAAAATGGGGCAGAAGAAAATGATCAGACTTGACCCTTGCCCTGCAAACTTCCTCAAAATCCAGTGCTTTTGATGTCTGTTTTAGACTTCCAGGGGAGCTTTGTGCCTGATTCATTCTTTGCACCAGAAGCAAACAGATAGATGATAAATAAATAGTAACTAGGTAGGTAGGTAGGTAGATAGAGAGACAGATGATGGATGGATGGATGGATGGATGGATAGAAACAGACATACATCATATACCATATAGTGATGCTTCAATCAACAATGGACCCCATATATAACCCATAAGATCCCATAAAGTCTGTCCAGTGATGTCATATCCTTCTTACTGTAAGTATACTCTAAGATGTCCACATATGACAAAATTGCCTAATGATACATTTTTCAGAATGTCCCATCATTAAGTGACATATGACTGTAGGAAACATATAACCAAACACACACACATATAATACATACATAGATGATAGAGAAAGGAAGGAAGAAAAGGAGTGAGGGAAAGAGGGAGGGAGGAAGGACGGGAGGGAAGAGAAGATTCAAGTTACTAATGAACTAGGAATGTAGCTCTCTTATGAAAAGTATTTTTAATTAAACATATAAATGAGAATCTTAGAATCTGGTGACTGTATTACTTTTTCCACAGTTAAGAACACTGCAATTAAACCTTCTTTTCTTCCCAAATTGAGCAGGCAGCAATTTGGAAGTAGTACACCCCTGAGTGAATGTCAGGAGAAAGAAAGCTCAGGAGTGCATGGGCACAGAGGGTGGCAGGTGGGTGACAGCAGCTCCTGTTTGTAAATCATGCCTAAATGAATCACAAAGGAAAGCTCTGGTTCATGGAGGGATGAGTTTTACCCAAGTCATAGCATGTGCTGTCCCTAACCATAGCAATGGGACAATGTCCAGCCTCCCCTTTTCCTCTTTTGCTAGTCAGCACTTTCCCTGCTGTATGCCAACTCCCTCCCTCGCAGTAGAACAAGCCTGGGAGGTTTAATTAGCACAGATACAGAGTCAGAACTGAGAGCCAACTGCTTGCTGTACAGTTTCCCATGCACCAACTGGTGGTTACACAACACACGACCTCCAGACAGCCAAGTTCAGGTTCACGTAGGCTCAGTGACCCATAACATCAGACCTCTCTTCTGCCCACCACACCTTCTCTTCCTAACTCAGGGCTTCACACCAGTCTCCTTACCCTCCTCTCCCTCAACCCAATGAGATCAGCTTGGGACTGGGGTCTTCCTCAAGACCCCTCCAGACAGCTGCCTAGGTCTTCACATCCAGACTGAGGATCCCATGCCAGAACAGCACACTTCCTCTCCTCCCCTTGGCTCAAGACTCTGGTTTCTCCTGATTCCATCTTCAGCTGCAGCCAGGGCTGCAACAGGACCTTGTGTTCAGAAAGGTTCCACCCTTGGTCCGATACATTGCTATCGCTTTTGTGGAATTCTTCATAACTTTCGGACAAAGGGCCCCTAGTTTTCATTTTGCACTGCTCCCAGAAATTCTGTAGCTAATCCTGCCAGTATCTGTGACAGTGACTCTTCTTGGCCAGAATGGTTAGGGGCTTCCTGGTCAGTGGTTCCCGGCCTAGGAGTTTGGATAACAGTATTAACGAAGAAGGGCACTAGTGGCACCAGTAGGCTAGAATGGTAGCAAAGCACATTTTTGATGTTATGCTACCAAAGCGTTCCAGCACTAACTATGTGCTGGCTTTTCATGATGTCATTACCTTCATGTGATCTTCCTAGGTAGATGCTGATTCCTGTGCTCACAGTGCAAACATTGGGGTTCAGAGCATAAGTAACCCAAGCCACACAAAATAACAGGTGCCTTAGTGTTCAAAAGGCACCAGAGAAGTTAATGAGAGAAGAAGATAAGAAGAAAACCTTTTTCTCCTAATTACAATGCCACTGTTCATGGCAACTTGTCAGTCAAGTTCAATAGCCCAAGTTGGGCTTATTAAGGACTCAAATAAGGAGCCAGAGACGCTGGGGAAGACAAGGTGCTTGGAGTCAGATAAACCCGATCCTGGGTCCACCTCAACCTTTCTTGGGAAGGTCATTTACTCTCTCTAAGACTCCACTGCTCATCTAAGAAAACAACAGGAACACCTCTCCTGCCAGCCTCCTGGAGAGCTCCAGGACAATCTGCTTGTTAAATGTCTGAAATGTCTGACTCAAAACAGATGGTGAATCTGTTCTAACTACGATTGTCTTGCTAAGGCAGGTTTTGTCAGCATTTCCCTAAGCAAATTCTACAGAGCACTCCTTCCATGGAATGTTCTAGAGGAAAAAGGAGGGGGTTCCATGAGCAACTGAATTTGGGAACACTGAATCCCAAGCCTGCTTCTGGAATAATTTCAACGTGTACTTGGACAAGTACACAAGATGGTGGAGGAATGAATGCTTCCTGCATCAGGCTGCATGAGTGAGTTTGAGTAACAAAAAAGAGACTGCATACAGAGGAGCCAACATACAGAAGACAAACATAGAAGAGTAAACAAATATCTGAAAACTACACCGGATCAAAAAGACTACACAAACAGTTTACAGCGCCTGCCTGTCCATGTTCCCCTGCAGGGAGGGAAGACTATCTGAAGGTAAGCCAAGCCATGGCCACGACAGACTAGCAAAACTAGCTCTGGAACAATATTTACACCACTCACAAATCCTAACTCCAGAGTGGGGACATCAAGAGACAGTAATTCCCCGCTGTATGGCAGGCCAGCAGCAAAACAGGATAGCCTTGCATTTCTCAAACCTCAGAGAGCTGTGGCAAGGCACAGACCAAGTCTGGTTTCTCAAGGCACCTGGCTTGTACTTGCAGCCAGCGAGAAGTTACGTGGTGCTGGGGTAGGGGACTGGCGACTCCGCCTAACTGCTGAGGAATTCACTACAGCAAAACAGCTAGCCGTACCTGACAGCTATCTGAAGCTCCTTGCAGGCAGGCCAGCTTGGACACTGAGCATTGGATGATGTGGAAAATCACAGACATATTCCTTGGTCTCCAAGCCATATTGTCCAGGTAGAAAGAACACCCCTGGCAGGAAACACTCAGAGGTCAAGAGCCCCATTGAATAAGGTCAATTTTAAAAAACAAAACACCCAGCCCCCACTGGCTGAGAGCCCCAGTTACTGCAGCTGCTTAATAGCAAATTACAGCAAGCAACAAGCATCTAACTGAGCAAAGCTGGGATTTAAAAGACAACACCCCTAGGCACCCTAGGTCTCCAAACCACAGCGTCTGCTTGGAAGTCCACCACCAGAGGCAGACATAGAGAGGGGGAGGTTTGGACTGGGTCCAAGTGAGGAAAGCAGTCAGCAGACCAGGACTGTCAAGCCACTAGACCCCACCGCACCAAAGAAGCCAGCTCCTAGCTCTCCACATTTCAATAGGAAGTCTCAACCCCCTGTCTACAGAGGCACCCCAGACCCAAAACAACTCAGAGAGCAAAGCTCTGTTAGAGAATTTACTGTCTCAGCTGTCCCTTCCTGACACCCCGGCTAAAAGCCCAACTCAGTCTTTCTGAAGCTGTTTCTATAACAATCAGGGTCTCACAGACAAGAAATACAAGCATTTTGTTTGCTTGTTTGGTTATCTGTTTGTTTCTTTGTTCTGTTTCTTTGTTTTTGTTTTGATTCTTTATTTCCAAGTTTGCTCTTGTTATTCTTTATTTGTTCCTGTTTGACTGTTTTTCTCCTTTTTCTTGCATCATGTGTTTCCCAGTTACTAATACCTCTCATTACTATCATCACCTTCAACTCCCTCTCCTTCCTCCCATCACGCCCCTCCCTTCCCCACACTCTTCCCCGCAATGCTCAATGTCCATTCCTTACACCCTCAACCAGTGTTGAGCTCCCTGATCATCTCCCTAGAATCAGAATTTTACTCCCACTCAACCTTACTGGAGAAACGGGTTTGGGCTTCAGTTGTTCCTTATGCATTCAAACACCTGAATTGTTTACCTCACTTCTACTGTAGGTTCTCCACTCACCCAAGGAAGTAAAAGAAGTAATAGACCAACAGGTGCACAGATCGCAGCACAGAAACTTACATATGAAAACTAAGGCAATGTTTTATATCCAAACTCCCACCACAACAGCTCAACATCTGAATCCAAGAATAATGAATTGGCTGAAATGTCAAAAGAGAATGCAGAAGCCTACTATTGAAAATGATCAGAGACCTTAAAGAGAACTCAAATAAACAGATAAATGAAGTTAGGAAATCAATCCAAGACCTAGACAAGAAAGTCAGCAACATGGAAGAGAAATTCAGCAAGGAAATGGAAATTATGAAAAAAATCAAGGTGAAATGTTAGAAATGAAAACCTTAATAAATCAAATACAAACCACAATGGATAGTATTATCAGCAGACAAGATCAAACAGAAGAAAGACTATCAGAGAAGGAGGACAAAATTGAAGAGTCATTGCATGCCATCAAAAAAGTTAATACGCATGAATAAAACATACAAGAACTCTGGGACAGGATCAAAAGACTAGGGTGGAAGAAGGAGCTGAAATACAAACTAAAGGCATAGAAAATCTATTCAATGACATCACAGAGAAAATTTCCCACATCTGTGTAACAACACAGACACTGATATACAGGAAGCATTTCAAACTTCAAATAGACATGATCAGCAAGAACAACCCCGAAATACATTCTAATTAAAATGCCAAATCTAGAAAACAAAGGAAATTGAAAGCTTCAAAAGAAAAATGCCAGCTTACAACAAAGGTGAACACATGAGAATCATCCCAGACCTCTCAGCACAAGCCCTAAAAGCCAGAAAAGCACGGAGCAGTAAAACTCAAGCTCTGAGAATGAATAACTGCCAACCAAGAATACTTTATCCAGCAAAGCTGTCCTTCAGCCTCGAGGGAGAAATAAAGACCTTCCAAGACAAGGACAGGCTACAGCAGTTCATGTCCACCAAGCCTGCATTACAGATGATACTCAAAGGAATAATAATCATGGAAGT